ATATTTAACAACAGTGAATATTATTTCTTGGTTTTGTTGAGGGTGGGTGGGGGATAATTTTGAACAATGTCGATTTATCGATTTAGCAAAGGTGGTAGATTATTCGTACAAGGTACTCACGAAGATGATGATAGGGCTAATGTCATTTCAAGCAGTCGTACTGGTAGCCCATCTGCTGATGATTTACAAGCAATTTATACTAAAAGACGTTTATCTACCGAAGTCTTAGGTAAATAAATCATTTGATGATTTATTTTTATTTATACGATTCGCTCAAATTTAATTTTGATTGTTTTACAACGAATTTTTATTCAATATAAATATATTTTTATACTTACGTTAAAATATAATAGTATTTTAGTATTTTTCTTTTTGTTTTATTCTTTATTTATTGTTTGTGTAAATAATTTTGGTATAATAATATTTTATAATGTTTGAGAGAAGGTTTTTTAAATTTAATCAAAGAAAAATTGACTTACAAATAATTCGGTTTGTTTACAATTAATTTAAAATTTAAATTATATTAATTAATTTAAAATTAATTCGATGATTAAATAATTATTCATTTATTCTTTGTAATTCTATTAAAAATATTAAAATTTTATTAGTAGGATTCCTATAACGTTTCATTTAAATCGTGAATATTATAATTAATATAAAATTTAAATATATATATTTTATAATATTTAATTATAATTATATTAATTTTATTATATATAATATATAATTAATATAAAATTAATATAATTAATATTTAAATTACATTAACAAAATTAAAATGAACTAAATAATTCATTGAATAATTTATAAATAAAAATATTACAATCTTATTACTAGGATTGTGCTAATATTTCATTTAAATCGTGATTATTATAATTAATATAAATATTTTATTTAAATCATGACTCTCTTATAATTAATATAAAATTTAAATATATATATTTTATAATATTTAATTATAATTATATTAATTTTATTATATATAATATATAATTAATATAAAATGAACTAAAAATAATTCATTCAATAATTTATAAATAAAAATATTACAATCTTATTACTAGGATTGTTCTAATATTTCATTTAAATCGTGATTATTAAAAATAATATAAATATTTTATTTAAAATCATGACCATAATTAATTATACAATCGATCGAGTATAATGCGATCTAAAACGTTTATAAAATAGAAATACTTATCCTTGATCTTGAGTCCGTCATTATAGAAATGCATCGATTAAATGCCAACAAATCTTAAAAAGGAATTATCCAGTTTCAAGGAAATCGATTAAATCGGTGCCGTGGGCGAACGGAAATTGTTGAATAGTTAAAGTATAATATTAACGTCACAACATCTAATCATCTTATGGCAATGTCCTTCGATTTACAATCTATAATAAATCCTTTCATTTAAATCGCCCACGATATTCACCATTTTTTAATGTAGATCGTCATGATCTATAATAAATATTGTTTTATAATTTTCATCATTTAAATAACTTTGAATTAACTAATATAGTAATCTATAAATCAATCTGTTATCATTATCCTTGAAATTAAAAATTCAATTTAAAAAAAAAAAATGAACAAAAACAACAAATTAGCAACAAACACAGCTATTAAATTACTATACATGAAAAAACAATAAATAAATTACGTAATTCAAATTAGACAAATAAAATCATAATAATAATATTTTATATTATTTAAATATATAAATTAAATATTATATGCAATATAATAATAATAATTAATACAATAATTAATATAATAATTATACGATATTATTATTAATTTTATTTTGACTTCAAACAATCTATAAAATATAATAATATAAAAATAATTTAATATAATAATTAATTTTCTTTTGTTAAAATATTATTGATTGATTTTTACTTGTGTGTACAGATGTATAAAAATATTAATTTGATTATAAATATAAATAATAAAATATTTGAGCGAATCGAAAAAATGGGGGATGGTGTTTTGTGGTTGTAAGGGTGGAGTGGGACAATAATTTATAATATTAATGGAATATTTTGGATTATTATGATGAATTATGTTAGGCTCGTCGATTGAATCGACTAAGACCTCGAGACGCGGTGAAAATGGCACTAAACGTATCGTGACGCGAATAGTTCGGAAGACAACGACTTTAACGCGTGGGGAGGAAAAAAGCATTACCGAGGACCAAACCAAATATGGCTCGCAAAAATATCTCAAGGATACTTCTTCCTCATCCGCGACCTTGACAAAACGTTCATCGCCAAAAGTTAAAACTGTTAGGGTAAGAAATTATAAAACAAAATAAAAATATAATAAAAATAAAATAACAAAATATATACGTGTATATTACAAATATTTATATATACATATTATTATTATTATTATATATATATATTATTATTATTATTATTATTATTATTATATTATATTAATAATTGATTTTTTTGACCCACCCTAATATATATAATAATATAATATTATTATATATTATATTATTATTATATTATATTATATTATATTAGGGAGACTGGAAAGTAATGTTGCAAAATACGCAAGTCAATTTTTATATTATAAATTTAATTTAAATTAAATTTAATTAAAAATCGATTAATTTTTATTAATATTCGACATTCTAAATTTGCATTAATAAATGGAAAAGGTTTTGTTGATAACGAGGATTGATTACATTATTGATTAAAAATAAAAATTTGTTACGAATTTGTTAATTTGAATTTAAGGCTAGAAACGCGACATTACTTTCCGGTTAACCTAACATATATTTTTAAAAATATATTTATATATTTTATGAAATGTTTAAAACAATATATATTTATATATTCTATGAAATGTTAAAAACAATGTATATATATTTTATTAAGATTATGTTACCATTGTATCTGATAATTTCTTATCAGTTGATTTCATAATCGATCTAGGAAAGATTAAACAATTGATAAAGATACTATTTGTTTTTTGAAATCAAGTTTAAAGTATATCTAACATATTTTCAAAATATAATTCAAAATAAAATGCAAATTATTATATATATAATGAATCTATTTTATCATTTCTTTTTTTTTTTTTATAGACAATTAATTATGCAATTTAAAAAAAAAACAACAAATTAAATGATTCAACCTAAACATACATTCATTCACAAACAAAACACATGAATTATCTTTCACATGAACATCAAATGAACATCACAATTCAATTTTTATTTATGTTTGATGTGTGTAAAGTGTTAAATAATTGTATTGTATAAAAAAAAAGAGATAAAATTCAAATTGCATTATTTCGAATTTGTTCAGGTCTCAAAACATGATAGGAATTTTCTATAAGAATCTGTCTAACACAAATAGAATAAATTTCAATAGATATCTCATCTATTTTTCTATACGAGTTACGATGACGATGAATAATGGTAACAAATGTTATATAATTTTATGTTAGTGAGTTAGTTGACTACGATTATTAATGTTGCGGAAATTTTTTTTTTTACAATTACAAATTAAACACCACCTCTGTTTCTTATCTTTTATATCTTTTTTTTCTTTCTAATCAATTTTCATTAGATCATTTCTATGAATATCATTTCTATGAATAATTAATATAAAATATAATTCATACTCTTAAATTGTTTCCTTTTTTCTTTTTTTGAGGTTTAATTATTAATCAAAAACAATGATTAATTAATTAAATAATAATAATAATAATTTGTTTACAAAATATAATTTAATTGTTTTGTTTAATAAAATACTTAACAGTAATGAATTTGATTTGATTTTATTTACAATTAATTATAAATACTCTAATTTGTTTTATTTAATTATAAATAATATTTGTTTTACTTAATTATAAATACTATTTATAATTAATATTACAATTTTTAATAATAATATTTTTTTTTAATACTTTATTTATGATTATTTTAAAATTAAACCTAACCAAAATTTAACATTATAAATACTAGTTTGTTTTATTTAATTATCAATACTATTTATAATTTTACATTATAATATTTTTTAAATATTTTACTTGTGATTGTATTAAAATTAAAACCTAACCTAAATTGAACATAGTTAAGATTTGACATTTAAACGAATGTTAAGATTAAAATCCAAGGAAAGAGAAAGAGAAAGAGGAAAAGTCGATGAACCTAATCGAGTACGAGTAGTTGTGAGTTCGGTGCACCGTCATCATCAAACGATAACTCAATCGAGAACATCTGTTAGCATAAGTTAGGAATAATAAACGTGAAAGGCAAAGTATAGAAGAGAAATTTCATTGTTTTCAATCTCTCCTTTAATATCTTTTCTTCTTCTTTTTCTTATTCTTCTTCTTTCTCTTCATCATTTGAGAAAGAAAGAAAGAAAGAAAGAAAGAAAGAAAGAAAGAAAAAAAATAGTCAAAGAAAATATACTAATACCAACCCCTTGTATAGATTATAGTTCTTGGATATAACAAGTTCTATTTTCTGCTAAAAGGGTATTTCTAACCTCTAAAATGCACGTTCTCTTTGGTATTTAAATTTATAGATAAGAATTGTATTTATAGTTAGAGTTCAGATTATTTGTATATTATTTTTTTTTTTTCAAATTTGTTATCTACAAAGTAATATTGTTTAGTTATCTTTAAATTTATAGCCATTAAAAATGTTTAATGTCATTTAATTGTTGTTGCTTGTTATACTTTTTTAAATAATAATATTCAATTAAAAGGTTGTTAATTATTTATTTATTTGTTTATTATTTATTATCTCACCTTATATAAAATAGTTCTTTGTTTTCAGCAAATTAAATCATATCAAACATTGTCAAATCATTTATGCTCAAATAGAATTATTATTTAATATCTCACCCTATATAAATTAGTTGCTTTTTATTTAAATTAAATCATATTAATCTAACTTCCAGAATAAAATTTTATGAATCATATTATTTAAAAAAGAAAAGGTTAAGGAATATGATTATGGTTGAATTTATTGTTACAGATATCAGATATTGTAGCAGGTCAAGAACCAAACGTGACAGCACGTGAAGCATTATTGAGATGGGCTAGAAGATCAACGGCACGTTATCCTAATGTCCGTGTGACAGATTTTACTTGTTCCTGGAGAGATGGTTTAGCGTTTAGTGCACTTCTCCATAGAAACCGTCCAGACCTAATCGATTGGAGAGGTGCTCGTGCAAGTCAAACTAGAGAACGGCTGGAACGGGTCTTCCACATCGCTGAGCGCGAGTACGGCGTTACGAGGCTTCTCGATCCAGAAGGTATAAATCTTATATTCTTCCTAAATCATTTATTTTATTTATTTATTGTTTTCGTGTAATCCAACATTAATGAAATTTATCATGGTATCCTAGATAACTCAATTGGATAAATCAATCACCTGGAAAATGAAAGAATATGTTGAATTCGAATCCACCAGTCAGTTCAGTTGCTCAGTTTTTTCAGGAATCCTTTAAAATAGGGGTTAGTTTAGGGTAGAAGTTTGTTTCCTGACACTCTCGACAATCGTGCAATCAGTTTGACCCTGGGTTTGAGTTCATCCAGTTGTAGCAGTAGGAAAATGTGAGATTTAGGGTTTCATATTCCAAATACATAAATCCCAATTCTTGAAAGAATTGACCAATTGATCTGACACTTGGACAATTCAATGATTTGAACAGCAAAAAGTTTCCCTAGGTGTCCCAGTCAATCCCAGTCAAACAAACTTTTTTATCACGAATCCCATATGTCATCGTCAATCCTTTCTCAGAATTTAATCTCGTCTTTGGTCGTTGACATGAAAGTGAAAGCAACAATACTTTAATGGATTTTCCTTATTTGTTAACAAACAAACTTGTCACCCGACTGATCCACGTCAATTCACTTTCTCCATCTTTTTCTTTTCCTTTTTTATATTCAACGGGATTATCTTAAGTTGTAGAATTAGAAGAAGAACAAAAAAAAAAAAGGAAAACGATATAATTATTCATCTTCTTATTTGTATCATTGGTGTTGGTATTAGCAAGGTGCATGCACAACACACGTAGACCCAATAACCGAGCAACAAATCCGACCAGAATAGTCGCCTTTCTTTTTGGTCACGGTGTACGCCATCATTTCCGGTAGAAGTCAAGTACCGTGACTGATCGCAGCACTGACTTCTCGTATAAATAATTATACTTCCTTCGTCCTACCTATTCTATAAGTATTTTTCTATGTGTTGACTAACGTTAGTCTTATTGACTCACGTACTTAGATGAGGTGTCTTCCATTGTTCACTAACAGAACACTTCTATAAGATTTATGTTTATATGTATTGACCATTCCGTTAGGTTTAATTAAACGTTAATGTATTTTTAAACGATTGATAATAAATTAATAAATTATTATTGTATGTATATTCATTAACAAGTTGACAATTGTGTGAGAAAGTTGATTGTTCAATTAAATGAACATATGACACATGGTATTTTATTTATTTGAATAAAATTTATGAACAATTGGATGAGATAGAGTCCCTAGGATAAATTTATAGGTTAGAATAGTTGGAATTCCTAAAATCTGATTGTATATCAAACCAAACAATCAATTTATGAATCCTAAATTAGATCCCAGTCAGTCATTTGTTCAAATTATGATTCTAACACATTGGTTGGGTTTATGGACAAATTAAATGTTGTTTCAGATGTTGATACACCAGAACCGGACGAGAAGTCTTTGATAACGTACATCTCATCGCTCTACGATGTGTTCCCGGAGCCACCCCCTATTCATCCCTTGTACGATACAGAAGCCCAAAGACGTTCAGCTGAATATCGTTATCTCGCTAGCTCTCTACACCTTTGGATTCGTGAAAAGATGACATTGGTACAGGACAGATCATTTCCGCCAACGTTAATTGAAATGAAAAAACTTGCTGCCGATAGTTCGAAGTTCAAAAATGAGGAAGTACCACCTAGATACAGGGACAAACAAAGATTGTCATATATATTTCAAGATTTGCAAAAATATTTTGAAGCAGTTGGCGAAGTTGACATGGAACCGGAATTACATATCGATGTTATAGAAAAGAATTGGAACAAATTGATTATGTTACATCAGGAAAGAGAACAAATGATCATAGATGAAATCAAACGGTTAGTATTTATTGTTAATTATAATTTAATTATTTATTAATGTCTATGCATTGTGAGATTTTTAAATGGAGCAAATTTTTGTTTATTGTTTAGCAGTTAAAAAGTAGTATTTAAAAAACGATTAGAAATAATTGTTCCTTTTGAAAATAATTATCCCGATTAGAAAGTACTTCGTAGAATAGATTCAAGTTCTATTTGGTATGCATTCTCATGTTTGCAACGATCTAAGGAAAGGATAATCTCACAATGAAGTCACGAAATGCATCGAGTCATGCAAGATGCTTTCATGAAGATATATATTTTATATACATACACATGTACATCTGTATATATATATATATATATATATATATATATATATATATATATGTATTCTAACTTAATGTTTGGGTTTTTAGACTCGAACGGCTACAACGACTTGCTGAGAAAGTTCACCGAGAGATGAAGTCTACCGATAATCGTTTGGAAGAATTAGAAAGACGTGTGGAAGACGAAGCCAGACGTTTAGATCGTCTTCATCCATTAGAAGCTAAACATGCGGTGGACCTGCTGGAACAGGACATTCGCAATACAGAAACTCAAATACAAAATATTTTTACCGATGTACACACACTCACTGAAGGCAGATACAGTCAAGCTGCTGAACTTCATAAAAGGTTATTGGTTATTCTAGTTCTATTGTCTTGTAAAATATATCCAACAAAAATCACATATTTAATATTATTTATTACATTTACTAAAGATGGACACAGAATCCAGTTGTTAAACTTCAAACTAGAACTAAGGGGTTTTATAAAATTATAATTTATTATTTGTAGGATTTTTCTATAGATTTGATTTTTTGAATATAAATTCCAGACATCCTAGGGACTCTAAAGATTATTAATTTATTAATTGAAAATAATTATCAAACAAATATCAGGGTTATGTTAAAGGGGTAGTGTTCTGTGCAAATGATTATTGGTATAATGAATGAGGAATATGAGTAATGCTTTATAAATGTTTCAAATATTGTTTGTTAACAACAGGGTACAGAAATTACATCAACGTTGGGTAGCATTACGTTCGCTTTTGCACAAACGTTTGGTCCAACCACTTTCCGCAGTGTCTTTCCCTGTTGAAGAACGAGTTGTAACGAAACATCGAACGACAGTTCACGAAACGAGATTGGTAGATACCAATCCACATTTCCGTTCATTACACGACTGCATCGATTGGTGCAAGGCAAAGATTAAACAAATTCAAGAAGCTGATTATGGTTCAGATTTGCAAAGCGTACAAAACGAATTCGACGTTCATCAGAAGGAACATAAAAATATCGAACAATTCCATACGAAAGTAGACAAATGTGTTCAAGGAAAAAATAATTTCCATGGGGAAGAATTGACATTGTACAGTCAACATTTAAGTACATTGCAAAAACTTTATTCCGAACTTTTGGCATTGTCCAATAAAAGACTATCAGATTTAGATACTTTGCAAGATTTCATACAATCTGCCACTGGAGAACTTGTTTGGCTAAATGGTAAAGAAGAAACCGAAGTTACACGAGATTGGGCTGATAGGAACTTAAACGTTCAAAGCATCGAACAGTATTACGAGGTTAGTCAAATTTATTTCTTATATTACATTTATTATAACCTAAAAAATAAATGGTATACCTCATGTATAAATTTGATGTTTTTTTTACAAGCGTACTTATGGGTCTGGTATTGAGGTAAATGTTTGAACAAGCAAATTGATAAATTATTCACCATTAAACTTTATTCCCAATTTATCATCATTTTTATATTTTCTTTTCAAACAATGAATTTGTTGTTTTGTTTTTTTTTTTTGTAAATGTAGTCTCTGATGAGTGATTTGGAGAAACGAGAGATTCAATTTTCCGCTGTACAAGATAGAGGAGAAGCATTGGTGTTGCAACATCATCCAGCGGCAAAAACAATCGAGGCATACATGTCAGCTATGCAGAGTCAGTGGGCTTGGTTATTACAATTGACCCTTTGTCTGGAGGTACATTTGAAACACGCTGCCCATAGTCAACAATTTTTCAAAGACATTCATCAAGCTGAATTATGGATATCGAAGATTGATGAAACACTTAACACGGTTTATTCGGAATCTGATTTTTCATTGGACGAGGGTGAACGTTTGTTGAAGGGTATGCAAGAACTTAGAGAAGAACTCAACAATTATGGCGAACGTGTACAAAAATTAGTTGAACAAGCTAAAGATATTGTACCAATGAAACAAAGAAAACGACCAGTAACCAGACCATTGCAAGTTACATGCGTTTGCAGTTACAAACAAGTCAATGTAAGTATGAGAAATAAAATTATTTAAAAAAACAAATCGTAAAAGGTGTATTCAGTATTTTAATGAATTGTTCTTTTGTTTGGTTATTTTTCAAAGATGTCAATCGAGAGAGGAGAACAATGTACACTTTATGACAACTCTGGAAGAGTTAAATGGCGTGTTAAGAATGCACAAGGTGTTGAATCACCTGTACCAAGCGTTTGTTTCGCATTACATCCACCTGACAAAGATGCATTGGATGCTGCCGAAAGATCAAGACGACAATACGACAGAAGTGTGTCCTTGTGGCAACGTAAACAACTTCGATTAAGACAAAACATGATATTTGCTACGATCAAAGTAGTCAAAGGTTGGGATTTGCCACAATTTTTAGCAATGGGACAAGATCAACGTACTGCAATAAGAAAAGCATTGAATGAGGATGCTGAAAAATTATTGAGCGAGGGTGATCCAACCGATCCACAATTGAGAAAATTAAAACGCGAGATGGCCGACGTTAACAAATTGTTCGACGATTTTGAGAAACGTGCGAAAGCCGAGGAGGAGTCGAAAAATGCTGGTAGAATTTTCAACGAACAGGTGTCCACGCTTCAACAAGCATTGAATGAAGCTGAACGAATTATAAATGCACGTATTGCTGCACCATTGCCGAGAGATTTGGACAGTCTCGAACATTTGGTATTGGAACACAAAGATTACGAACAAAATTTCCAACAGTTAGCATCAGAAGTTGATCAAGTACAACAAACATTCCGCGGTATTACATTGAAGACACCAGCTATGAGAAATAAACTGGACAGTGTCGTTAACAAATGGAATCATCTTTGGAATCTTAACAATCTTTACATCGAACGTTTGAAATGCATTGAAATTGTATTGTCAAGTATAGAAGAAAATACAACAGCCATATCCGAATTTGAAATAAAATTAGCATCATTCGGTGAATTACCGTCTGACGTTAAAGGTTTACAAAATGTTCTTGAAGATTTGATGATATTACAAAACGCAATAGCTCAACAACAGTCATCCGTTGATCAATTGAACGATGATGCTCACAACGCAAGACGTCTAGTTGAAAAATCAAGACATAATCATCACGGACCACACGGTGATATGGACAGATTGGACTCCGAGGTCAACAGATTGAATTCTAGGTGGATTAACGTTTGTGGTCAATTAGTTGACCGATTACGTAGTGCGGAAGCGGCTTATAGTCTAGCACAACAATACCATAATTCATATCAAAATGAAGTTGATTTCATTGACGAATGTTATAACAAACTCGAATTGGAAAATGCTAAGGTAGACATTTTTTCTTTGATTAATTTTTATATAAACGTGCTCATCATAAACTTTTAATCATTTAATTGATAATGATAATAATTGTATCTTCTTATATTTCATAATTTGCGTGCAGAATTTATTAAACAAAGTTGTGGATCGTGCACCAGCTATCGAAGCAGTCAATGTTACCGGTGGAAGATTCATACGTGAAGGAAAGGTAAGATGAGGTTCACAATGTTGCAAGAAAAAAAAGTATTCAATATTTTTTTCTTGTTGTTGTTGTATCAATAATTAGCTTTAGCAATTGGTATGAATGCAATGTGTGAATGAGATTTTGTAGGTAACACACGAACACATTTACGTACACATACGCAAACATATAATAATGATTTTACAGCATCCTGAAAATTATTTTATATATATTATAATATTATTTACTATATATGTATTTTTATTACAACAATGTAAACAAATCTTTCAGCAATTAGATGGGACCACAAACAACGGTTTCATAGAAACAAATTTTATTTTTTTTTAATATCTCTTTAGAGATTTTCTTTGTTGAATTTCTTTGATCTTTTTTTGTTTTTGTTTAAATGGATTTTATATAATTAGCTGTTACTAAAAAAAAATGGCTGCTTTTACTACGTACTCTCTCTTTCTTTGTTTCTCTTACTTGAGAAAGAATTTAAAACGTAAAATTACAATTATTAACTCGTTTAAAAATAAATTTGATTTAATTTATTCTAAATAAGGGCTAAGTAATAATGAATTATTTATTATTAGTATAATTTTAGGTTACACTAAAAGTAACCTTACATTACATACTAATAATAATAATAATAAGTTTCTAAATATATTTAATCAAGCCAAGTAAATTATTATCACTTAGCTCTACATTATCTAATCACAAACATAATATACAAAAATAATAATAAAAAAAAAGAAATCTAGATAATAGAGTTGAGTAAGCAGCGCATTCTGATCGATTTGGCTTTCGCATAAATTTTCAATTACCATTGGTAGAGCTACGAGTAAAAAAAGCTTGCGGGTTTAATTCGCTAAATAAAAAAAAATATTTATGACTTTATTCATTTATTTATTACGAATGACCCAGTGTGGTATATTAAAATATCGATTAACCTTAAAAAAAAAAAAAAAATAGAAATAAAACCTTGAATTATTTTAATCCCAAAAAAAAAAGAACAAAAAGAATTTAGAGACAAATAATTATAACATAGTTAAAACAAAATTAGTTCAACAAACGGGTAATAATTAATAATTTAACAATATAAAATAGAATTATAAAAAAATCAGGATTGTTTTGTAAAAAAAAAATATGCTATTAATAATTAACTTAGCGTTAACAACAAATAACTTGAATGCACAATCACATTGGGTCATCGTCGGTTCTAAATTAAAATAAAAAAAGGGAAATATTATTTAAATAAAAAAAAAAAAAAATACGTTTCTTCGCTTTTGGCTAACGGTAGTGGATCAAAAAAATGATCTAATTCACTAACCGTAACGGACTAACCGAAACCCCCATAGATCTATGGACAAAGGCTCAGAGCATTCAAAGAACAACTGGAAGAAGTTTGTCCATCGTTGGACGCATCCGTTAAAAGACCACGTAGAGAACCGGTAACTACGGTGGATGGAATCGCACGTGACCTTGACACACTCAATAGAAAATATACAACCCTGTTGAATCTACTACAAGAACGAGTTAGGCAGTTGGCCTTGCTTTATCCCGATGATATCTCATTACAGGTGAGTTTTGTTTTTTTTATACTTTATGATCTAATCAATTATGAGAAAAAAAAAGAAGGAAAAAACACCAGGAATGACATAATTTGTAATATTAGAGTGAATTAAAATTGTTCGTGAGTTTAGAATGTGTTGAAACTTTACTTGGAAATAATACGTAATGGGTTGTAGTTTGTTTGTTTGTTTTTTTTTTTTTTTTTTTTTTTTTTTTGGTAAAATTAAGTTAGTTTGGAAAAATATTAATGTTTGAAAATAATTAAGGTAGTTTTGGTTTAATTCTAATGAAAACAAATTTCTAAATGTTTTTATCAATTACTTTTATTTTTCGATTTTGATTTTGTTTAAGCTAAAATTACTGTAACCAAATACCCCTAAAACATATTTTTTTAGAAATATGAATGTTAATTTTATTAAATTAGAATGTTAATTAGGTAAATCTTATGTTAAATTGAATTGTTGGTTATGTTATATTAATTTTTTATATGTAATAAATCCTTTTTTTTTATTTTTTTATGTTTATACTATCATTTAAGATTAATGAATCAATTTTAGTTATTATAATTGCATAATTAAATAATTTTAATATTATTTGAATAAACTTTAAGAAAAATTCTTATACTTAAAATAACTGCAACTAAATACTAAAAATATAATATAATTATTTAGAATAATAATAATCACATTATATCTTTAGAATGTTAATTAGAAAAACTAATCTTATATTAAATTAAATTGTTGGTTATGTTATATTAATTTCTTATATATAACAAATCAATATAAATAATACAATTATAATTGTATTATTCTTAAACACAATTGCATTTTATATTTTATTATTAAAAATGAGTGCATTTAATAACAAAATAATTAAATTTAATAAAAGGATTAAAGTTCAAGATGGCTCCTGATTTAAAATATAGAAAATTGGTTCAAACAATTGGTTCAAATAAATTGTTAATGATAAAATAATAAATTTTAAATATCAGGATTAGAGTTAAAGATGGTTTTTGGTTTAAGAAAAGAGAAAATACAGTTCATTTTTGCCGCCTTTCATATTGGATCGATAAATGCGCAAGGACATATAACGTTAACGTTAGTTTCCAGTGCTTGTATTGGTTCTGGTGGTAGTATGGTAGCATAAGTGGGAGTAAAAGTGGTAGGGCGATAATGATTCGGCCTTTGCTCGGCTTGTCATTCCACCTGCCTACGTCTTTCTGAACAGAAAAACCTTATCCAACATCGTTTCTCAGTTTGTTTCTTGTTACATACATACAAACACACATTAACGGGATTATTATAATTATTATAATTTAAAAATTTATTTTTCATACTTAAAAAAAAAAAAATATTTTTAAAAATATTTCATTGATCTCCGTTTTTTTTTTCTTTACGTGGATTTGTTTTTTCTTTCCTCAAAAGGAGAATAGTTTTTTTTTTTATTTCTTTATTTTTTTTTTTGGTTTATTGAAACTTTTTCTACGAGATTTAATTTTTTTTTATTTTTTTTTTATTGAATTTGTCATAAGTCTAAGCGAATTATTATGAACATAGGTGTTGTTGGCACGCGTCAATTGTGAACAAGACGATGACGGGCGTTAAAATCATTCGAAAGGTGCACAAGTTTATTATATTTATATATATATAATATTTATATATGTATATAATACATATTTTGTTTTTATCTTTTTATTTTGTTGTTGTATTTATGGTGGATTTTAATCGTTCGTTTGAGTTTGTGGAAAACAATTCGTAATCAAATGTTGTTGGATTTTGTATTTTTTTTGGTACAGTGATTTTATACTTTGTGATCATAAAATTTATTTTTTTTTATATTTGGTGTTTTAATAAACAATGATTATACAACATTTCTAATCAACTTTCTTTAGATAATATGCACGGATTACAATTCTGATTAGATATCAACCTTTCGGTACTCAACTTTTGTTTTCTATCGTGAAATTAATCGTACATTTGAATTGTTTTTATTTTTGTTTAAATGAAACTGTGATAAATGTCGTACAAAAAGTATTTTAAAAAAATGAACAAATGAATGACGATAATAATTATATTTTATTTAAGAAAAATCGAATTCGTTTTACGTTTATTCGACCAATTTATCAGAAAGAATTTTTAATTGTATGATTAAAAAAAAAAATAAAAATTGACTGACAGATCGTTGAGAAGAAAAGTTCAGTAACATTTTGTTAAGATGAATCATCGTACTTAAGTTTAGTATCATAAAAATAACTTTGGGGAAGGGACCTGGGTTTTCTTTTTTTTTTTTAAAGATAAATGTGTTGGACATTTTTCTCACAGATCAACATTTTTCTTTTTCCAAGTACACTTCGCAAACTTTACAATTAGATCAAAAATAATTGTGTTCAAATGAAAATAAAATTGACCAATTTATATTATTTTATAATCAGTAATATATAATTATAAAATAAGTGGAAAATATATCAAATTAACAAATGAAAAAAAAAAATATATGAATGAATCGTATTTATATATGAACAAGTAAAAAAAAATTTATCAAACGATAAACATGAATGAATCATACGTTTGTGATAGTAGAAATGTAGTAAAAAAAAAATATATTTTAAAAAAAGAAAATGGTTGATAGTATTAATATTGATCATATAAAAATATATTATATAAAACATAAGTGAGAAAAAATTTATCAAACTGCAAACATGAATGAATCGTAGAAACATATTAAAAAAATATATTTAAAAAAAAAAAAGAAAATGATTGATAGTATTAATATTAATATTATTAAATATTTTAGTTAAAACATTAGTAAAAGAAAAATATATCAAACTAAAAACATGAATGAATCATATAAAATATATTTAAAAGAAAAAAAAATGGTTGATAGTATTAATATTAATATTATAAAACATTAATTCAAACATAAGTAAGAAAAAATTGATCAAATTGAAAACATGAATGAATCACACATCTACAATCTTAAAAACATAAGAAAAAAAATATATTTCAAAAAGAAAATGGTTAATAGTATTAATATTGATCATATAAAAATATTTTAAATAAAACATGAGTCAGAACAAAATTTATGAAACTGAAAACATGAATGAATCGTAAAAACGTAGTAAAAATAAAATATATATTTATATATTTAGAAAAATAAAGAAAATATTTGATAAGTGTCATTTAAAAATGGCGCTTAAAATGTATCAGTATATATAGTAAAAGGATGTGTTAAAGCATTTGGCACGAGTATAAACGAATTTTAGTTTAGTATATCAGTCTCCCGGGCGAGCTCGTGGCGTTAACGTGGCGTTCAGCTTTGACGTTCACCAGCCGGGAATGAGTTCTTTTCATTTCAAAAGAAAAAAGAAAAATAACAAAAAGATAAATAACTTATCTTACAAAATTAATCATTAATAATAATAATAATCAATCTAATATCTATGAAATATTCATAAACGTTCGTTGAGAATAATTAAAAGTAGAAAACAAAATAACTAAGATCAATCAAAAGAGGTCAAGAACAAAGTTTGATCCTCGGAGTTTAATGAATTATTCAAAAATACTGAAACAGTTTATTATTTTTTTTTTTCTAATCTTAACAAAGTGTTTTGTTAAAATTTCTATCCAATATTACATTATTATTAATAATTATTTATAATTGTCATTAATATTATGCTAGTAGTGATTATAATATTGATTCACAATCATGGTACTAACGGGAAGAAAAATAATTACAAAGGTAAATTAGTTTATCAAGCAAACAAATTAAAATTCGGTGATCGTAAATAGGGTGGGGGGATAAAAGGAAATTAACTTTCTGTGTCAAAAGTTTTGAACACACAGTTAAGATCTCGATCTAGGAATAGATGTTTAAAGTGTAGTCACACGCGGTAAACAGAAATGTGTTGCAATCATGCGATTTCACTCGTTCCCCTTCTCTTCCTCCTATTCCCCCTCTTCCTCTCTATCTCCCTCCTCATTTGCTAGTCGTAGAAACCGGTCAATCTGACGTCATCTTTCTAGTTATGCAATTATCGTTGGAATTAGTGTTGCCGATATGTTCAGAGAGAGACACAGAAGAAAAAAAATGGAATGTTTCAAGATTAATGCGTAATAATAATAATAATAATTCGTTGCGTAGTTTAATATATATAAAAAAAAAAAAAAACAAATTACAAATCTACGAACTATGAAGTCATTTTCTTTTCTTAGACGTTACACTCACGTTTCTTCATTTACTTATTCCCCCCCCCCTCTCCTCTGTGTCTCCAATTCCAATTCTCAATTTAAAATTTCACGCACCGGTATGGGAAGTTGTCGAATAAAATATGATGGTGTTTGACCAACGTCAAGGTTGACTGCCAATTTTTTTTTTGTCTCTCCCATTGTTCTCCAGATTTTTTTTTTTCAATTGTTCAATCCATTGTTCTCGTGGATAAAAATAATAATTTTATCGTTTAATAAATTCGTGTATTTTGTTTTTTTTTTTAACCAACAACAATGGCACGTTTATTTTTCACTTCACTTTTTGGTTTCATTTCTTTTTTGAAGGGTGGGGGTGGTCAGTTTAATGTTAAGTTTATTATACACTGTTAGAAATATTAATACCATGAATAAAATTCTTCTTCTTCTTCTTCTTTATTCTTCTTCGACGAATATAGAAACCACGTTTGTTTCGTGTAAATTTTTTTAAAACGAATAAATAAAAGAACAAAAAGTGTGTTTGTTTGGGTATTATTATACGAGTGTGTTTCGAGGGAAGAAGTAAAAAACGTTAAAAGTAATCTTAAAACTTACTACGTGGCTCAGCCTAGCTACAACGAAAGCTGAACGTGCTCTAAAAATATTGTAACCGTTCCCCAACGTTTAGGATCCACCTAGCAACCCGCGAAAATTGACAACTTCTCACTCAATCTTCCTCCCTCTCCCCCTACTACCACCAACCACCATTACCACCACCACCAATGCATTTCTTGTATCTCAAATAAACACCAATTTGACTTTTAACAATTTCAAACAAACCAGAAAATTGTCTCAGTTTCAAATTGTTCTGCATTTTATTTTGTTCATTTTATTTTCACACAGAAAATTAGGGTATATTAAGTTACATCTTCCTCCCTCTCCCCCTAGCACCACCAACACATTTCTTGTATCTCAACTAAACATCTACTTAACTTTTAACAATTTCAAACAAACGAGACAATTGTCCTCATTTCAAATTATTCTGCGTTTTATTCTGTTAATTAATAATTTTATGTTCACAAAAACATTAGGTATATTAAATTACCAGTTAATATGATAATACTTAAATTAACAAATTGTGAATTTAAATTTGTGTTTGCAGCGTGCTCTGCAAGAGCAACGACCCTTGCGCACGTTCAGAACGGAATTTAACATCTACGAGAGTACTACTAGCGAGGAACGTTATTCCTCGACAACTACCCATTACACTCAATCGCAGTGAGTACAATTTATAATTATAAAAACCCAAAACTTCAGATCATCTGAGAAAACATAATATATGTTGAACAGATTTATCTCGGAAAGACACGAGTCTACTGAGACAACCAGTATCAGTAGCGATTCAATTCGTCGTAGTACGAGTCGTGAATCTTCCCCATTGAAACGTGCTAGAACAGAGGGTCAACAAGATGTCGGTTATTCGTCACGTGTCAGTGGTGTTACGACAGAAACCACAACGACAACAGCGACGGATTCAACAACGACCGATGCAATACGAAATAACAACCAGAACAACATCATCAACAGCAACAGTAACATCAACAACAGCATGCAATTTAGCGAAATTAGGAATCTTAAGAGGATACACAGGGCCGAGGAGGGTATCAGTACTGACAACGTGATAGATGCTAGGGGTATAGTTAATCCAAGTACCGGGAAGGTACTTACAGTTGGCGAAGCTATAAAACTTAGGATTCTTGATGTTAGAAATGGTAGAATAGTAACTTCGATTGATACGAAGACAAGCGTAACTATCGAGGAAGCTGCTAGAATGAATTTGATAGATGGAAATCTGGCTAATCGATTGTTGGGACCTTATGGGTATACCGAAGATGGTCGACACATCTCTTTGCTCGAGGCTATTCAACAGGAGCTATTTGATGCCGAGAGAGGGGATGATAGAGTTAAGGTAACGACCATTTTATCGACGGGTGTTAGCGTTGCCGATGCGATGAGCGAGGGTTTGTTGGATCCTATAACCGGTCAGGTTGTTACGGGAAACGGTCAAAGGATCTCCATTGAGGAGGCATACTCTAAAGGTTATTTAACTAAATTAGATGTCACGGTTAAAGTTAAAAAGAACGCATTAGCACTTGCCGACGCTATTTCTCAAGGTCTTATCGATGATAAGTTAGGTCGTATTCTTGATAGAATTACCGGGGAATATTATTTGTTAAACGAGGCTATAGATAAAGGTGTCATTGATCCTGATATTAAAGAAATTGTCGATGCACGTAACGATACCAAGTTGACGGTAGCCGAAGCTATACAGCAAGGTATATTGAACACTAATCGGGGTAGGTATATGCACAATTTGTCAATGGAAACATTAACATTGAAGGAAGCACGTAGAAGACAACTCATCGTTAAACCAATGACGCTTAAAGATTGTTGCGATTTGGAGATAATTGATGAAACCGGTAGGATTGCTAGTCCTGCTCATAGAAAAAAGTTGACGGTATTGGAAGCCATATCGAAAAATGTCTTAGATTCGGAGAATCTCAAATCGATAACGGATACCAAAGCTGGTGAACCGATCACTTTATCGGATGCTTTGTCTAAAGGTGTCGTCAAACCGGAAGGTACATTCAAAGATACTTTGAAGGATGAGGAATTGAGTATACAGGAAGCAGTTGATAAAGGATTGGTCATGTCAATCTCGCAAAAGACTATTTTTGATATCGACGGTTTTAAAGATCCAATCTCGGGTGAATTCATCAGCTTAAACTCTGCCCTTTTGAAAGGTTTGATCAGTCCAAAATCAGGTGGTTCTTACATAGTCGATTTAAAAACTGGAAAGACAGTTCCATTGAACGAAGCTGAAGAACAGGGTTTTGTCAGATCAACGGTGTCAGAGATGCTCAATTGTGGTATCGGAATTACAGAAGAGGGTCGTGAAATTAGCGTATTGGAAGCTGTTTTATTGGAATTGGTCGATCCCAAATCAGGTCAATTATTGGATCCACGAACTAAACGAGTTGTTCCTTTGGAAGATGCAATTAAACGTGGATTAATCACTCCGGATGGTGCTGCGTTGCTGACGAGTTTATTAAACATTGCTGTGACTACTCAAACAGTTACGAAAACTGTTAAAAGATATGTGACTGTGTTAGAAACTGGAGAAGTTATCAATCGTGATTGTAAAATTACTTACACTGATGCCATCAAACGTGGATTAATTGATCAAACTCAACAAATCTTTACGGATCCTGATAGTGGAAAAATCATGAGTGTTCATCAAGCCATTGAAGAAGGTTTACTTGGCAAACGATTGGATGAAACACCTGGAGGTAAAGTACATTTACCATCAAAACAAGTTACTTTTGAAACAACTTTGGTTACAAACGTTGGAAACGTTGATAGTTCTGATGAAAGAGAGGAATCCAAACCAATGGCTATTGGTACTACTACAACTATCATAACTAAAGAAATAGTACCACCTAGTGATAACAAATTAGCACAAACTGCAACTAAACCATCAATGGTTTCGACAACTTTCATACCATCATCATCACCAGTCCAATCAACTATCAAAAATGGTACGATATCTCCCATGAAAACTAGTCCACCATCTTCACCAGATAAAATGGACAGATCTCGATCCAAATCTAAGAGTCCTACTGAACAAACAGAAGAACAGAAAACAATAAAAGATTCTAATTCGTTCACAAAGATTAAAAAAGATACGAATGAAACTAAAATGGAGATTCAAAGTTCAGTGACAACAACTATTAGGAATCATAAATCAGAAATCAGTTCGTTTATAGAAAGTGAACCTACTTCAACAGAAAAACGTGTTTTCGGGTTACCAACCGATGGTTGGACACTTGCTGATGCCATTGATCAGAAATTGTTTGATCCAGCAACCGGATTATTTATTATACCTGGTACCGATCGATTAGTATCGTTTGAGGAATGCATAAAACTACAAATAATTAATCCCAAATCTGGAATGGTCATTGATCCAATGAACGGAAGGAAAGTATCTTTGATGAGAAGTTTGGAAAAAAATATTTTAGATTCTACTGGACATTACACTCATCCACAAAAGATTTCTATGAAAGAAGCTATTGAAAAACAATTGGTAATACTTCAATTCAAATCACCTGATTCTGAAACAGCTAATCAAAGACTTTTACAAATTACTAAAATTTCTGGCAAACCTGACAAAGTTGAATTAACAAACGTGAATGATCCAACGAAGGACACTGAAATCAAAGCAACAGACGAGTCATCGATCATGGATCCTGTGCAAGTGTCACGTGGTGTGATTTATGATCCTGCAACTGCTTTGGTGATCTCAACGGATAACGGAACATCTGCTGATTTATTAAAAGCTGTTAAAGACGGTACTTTGCAATCGAAAGACGTGACAGTTCGTGATCCTTCAACTGGTAAAAACATTGCAATGTCAGAAGCTGTAGAACGTGGTATTTTGGATTCCAGAACTGGCGAATACAAAGTAGACGATGACAGAAAATTATCTTTGATCGATGCAACGAAATTTGGATTGGTTGCAGTCGTTGGTGCACCTTTGGTAGCAGCAGCAGCTGCCGTTGAAGCTGTCAAGAAAACTATGATAAAGGATCCAAAAACTGGTGAAAAAATACCACGCGAAGTTGCCATTGAACGTGGTTTAGTTCCACCTGAAGAAATTTCGACGAATGTTAAATCATCTTCAGCAGTTACAGCTACGGAATCTTTGTTACAAGATTTAAGAACAAGTTCAGATGTTACAGGGAAAAATGACACGATCAAAGATCAGAAAACAGGTGAACAAATATCAAAAGAAGTTGCCGTTGAACGTGGTGTCCTTTCACCGGAACAAATTTCAACAAATATGGTATCATCACCAACAGTTACAGCAACGGAATCGTTGCTACAAGATTTAAGAACAAGTTCCGATATCAAAACGAACGAAACCTTATTGACGAGTGAAATAAAATCAACGAGACAAGAAAATGGTTTGGAAACCAAGGATACGGTTGTTAGGAAACCATCAACACCTGAAGATGACCACGCTGATGCCCCAACATCTGTGGCAGCTAAAGCAAGAGCAAGAATAACAACGGAACCAAAATACACGGTTACCATTGGTCAAGCAAGATCATTTTCTCAGAGTCCAGAAAGAGAAGCAAAACCAATAGTCCTTCAAAAAATGAAGAAGAGAATTGTTAAAGCAAGCGAAGCTATAGAAAGTGGCCTGATCGATGAAGAAACGGTCCAAGTTATTGAAACCGAAATCTCTGGGGATGGAGAAAAGAAAATGACATTGTCCGAAGCTATAGAAAGTAATAAAATCGGCGCTGAGAGTGGTAGAATCGTAGATCCACAAAGAGGTGATGTTGTATCGATAAAGGAAGCAATACATCGTGGAATCTTAGATCCAGAAAATGCAGATTTACTTGTACCTTTAGCAAAAAGTCTATCAATTCCAGGATTATACAAACAAGGTCTGTTGGATCCTCAAGAAGGCAAAGTTGTTCATCCAGAAACGGGTGCTCATCTTACTCTAAACGAAGCCATTGTTTGTGGTATAGTCGATCCCTTGTCAAGAATAATTCAACCTAATGGACAATTGGATACTTTAGAAAATGCAATTACAAATGACGTGATCGATGCTGACAAATCGTTGATCAAAGTAGAAGGTGGTAGCGTTAATTTAGTCAAAGCTGTAGAGACAAATGTATTCGAAAATCGCGACCCAGGTAAATTATCCGAATTGCCACCAGCTGGTATGACATTCCCAGTAGCTTTGAAACGTGGCTTGATCGATCCATCCAAGAATGAAATAAAACACCCAATCACTGGTCAAAATGTACCCTTGAAAGATGCTATTGCAACTGATTTTATTATGACTTTACCATACCCGGTTGCACCAGATAGCATTGAAGTAACTAAAGCACTCGAATCGGGTCTCATAGATGAAGAAAAAGGTGTATTTGTTCATCCAACAACTGGTACATCTATACCAATCGTAGAAGCTGTTGAATCTGGTCTCTTAATTGTTAAAACACCAGCTAAAGATGAATGCGTCAGTACGATTACAGAAACAGTGACGTCCTATCATACTATTACAACAAAAACTATTCAACTTTCTCCAGGATATGTTCTATTAAATGCTACACAAGTTCAGAACCTTGAAACTGGTGACACACTTACGATCGAAGAAGCACGTGTTCGAGGAATCGTCAAGGATGAATCTGAGAAGAAAGAACAATTCACGACTAAAGATATTACGATTACCTTCAGTGATGCTGTTGAAAAAGGTTTGGTTGATTTGAATGCAGGAACTTATACCGATCCTAATACAGGTGATGTTATGTCAATTTCTAAAGCAGTAGAAGTTGGTATCCTTGATACCTCGGTTCAAAAAAGTCAGCCAGATTCTTCTACATCAACTACGCAAAACAGTTTAACCATCGTAGAAGCTATGGAACAAATTTATGATGATAAAACCGAATCTTTCACTGATCCCAAATCCAAGAAATCCTACAATTTAACCGAAGCAATAAAAGTTGGTTTGATCGAACCAGATTCTGTTTTGTACGATGTAAAAACAGATGAAACCTTAACCACGAAGGAAGCTATTGACAAGGGTTTACTCGATCCACAAACGGGAAAAATAAAACAGAAAGATGGAAGTAGTCCGATAAGTGTTGCTGAAGCTGCTAAACTTGGACTCCTAGCAATAGTAGCTGCTCCTGTTTTAGCTGGAAAAGCTGTAGTAGATGCGATTCAAACGAAACAAACTAAGAAACCTAGTCCACCTGTTGAATCAATTTCTGCAGTTACAGGACCATCAAATAAAACCGATAAAGCACTTGAATCTGAACGGAAAAGATCACCCGACGAAATAGATGAAGCACCAATAAGTCAAGAATCGAAACTTTTATCCACACCGAAAGCTACTACGAAAGAAATTTTGCAAAAAGAAGAGAAAGAAGTTTGCGATTCGTTCATTGCTAATGAAAAATCATTGACAAAACCGATAGAAGAATTACAAACATCAAAAACACTTGATACAGTTGAATTGGAAGACATTGAACGACACGATGAAGAAGAAGAAGAAGATTTGGATGAAAAATCGGAAGAAAAATTATTGATAGTCGTAACGAAGGATTTGTCAGCACGTGATTTAGCTGATCGAGGTGCATTTGATATGGAAAACGAAAGATTCGTTGATCCTTCAACAGGTAATATCGTTTCGTTCAACGAATTTGTTTTGGATCTACAAATTTTCGATCCTGACAACGTTTGGGTAAAAGATTTATCAAAGAAATCTGATAAATATGTCACTCTTCGAGAAGCAATTGATAGACCATTGGTAGATAGAAACGTAGGTTACATGGTAGACCCTAAAAGTGGTAAGAAAATACCATTTTTCGAAGCAGTCAAACTTGGATGGATAGAACAAAGACCAAGTACAGTTGAAAAGGAACCTTTAACTTTGAGCTTACAAGAAGCAGTAGAATCAGGTGTTTGTGATCCCATAAACGCACAAATTCATGATCCCAAATCTGGAGAACCATTGAGTTTATCGGAAGCAGTTGAAGTTGGATTGATCGATGCTGAATCTTTGGCTGTTAGGAATCCAATAAGTGACGAAATTTTACCTTTATCAGAAGCATTAGAATCAGGTGTGATAGATCTGCACAGAGGAGTTGTCATAAATGTTGAAACAAGAACAGAAATCGATATTAAAGTTGCTTTCTTAAAGGGTATGATAGTACCACGTGCTAGAAAACCAATTTCTTTGGAAGCAGCGATAAACAGTGGCATATACGAACCCAACACAGGAAAAATACAAGATCCTTTAACCAAACAATTAGTGGATGTTGAAGAAAGTGTTCGTAGAGGTATAATCGATGCTTTTATCACCGAATGTCAAGACACAAAAGCTGGTTCTTTCGTTTCTTTGGACGATGCATTAACTATAAATCTATTAAACTCAAAAATGGGACGTTTGCAAGATACAAAAGCTGGTGAACTTCTTCCTTTGGACACTGCATTGAACCGAGGTTTGATTATAACTACACCATTCGTGCCTTCGTTAATAGATGTTATAGCACAAGAATATTACTCTCCTAAAACTGGTCTTGTCTTAAATCCTGTGAACGGTGCTGAGATGACAATAAAAGAAGCTTTAACTACCGGTTATATCGATGACAGAACAACTATGATAAAGGATGATAGACGTGACAAAGTTGTCTCGGTTAAGGAAGCAGCAGAAACATTATTATTAGATTTACAAAGTGGTTTGTTGAATTATCCTCATTCCATGACATTGGATATTGCATTTGAGAAAGGTTACTTATTGAACACGACTAAACCTTGGACATTACAAGAAGCTTTAGCTCATCAGACCTACGATCCCAAAACAGGTACGTTCACCATCGAAGGTGAAAGCTATTTGCTAGAAGAAGCCATTGCTAAAGGGATTATTAATCAGGATAGTCCATCAATCAAGGATCCACGAAACAACGATATCATTTCTCTTGGTGATGCTATCAAACGTGGGCTTATCAATCCAAAAACTGGAACAGCTATCGATCCTTCAACAGGTGTACCACTTTCTTTAACTGACGCATTGGATCGGGGCCTAGTTGTTCCAGCCAAACGAAAAATATCTTTACCTGAAGCCATATTCAAAGGATTTTATGATCCAAAAACTGGTCACTTCATTATCCCAGACACTCAAGAAAAATTACCAACTGATCGTGCCATCAAAAAAGGTGTCATTGATACTACTACTGCTATAGTTCGACATGACAGTGGTGATGTCATAACTTTCACTGAAGCTATAGAAAAACTCATAGTAGATCCTAAAACTGGTACTGTGGCTACCGAAAAAGGAAGACGTTTAGATTTCCACGAAGCTTTAGAACGTGGTCTTCTATTGGAAACACGTAGACCAATGAGTTTCAGTGAAGCAATCTCTAAAGGCATATTGGATGACAAAACAAATACATTTTTGGATCCACAAAGTGGCACTTATTTGACCATACTCGAAGCTATTCAAAAACATTTAATCGATGCAGATTCCGTAACAGTCAAAGATGTCAGATCACCGTTTGTAAAAACAATGCCATTAATGAAAGCAATAGAATTAGGATACGTTGATGGAAATACTGGACGTGTTAAAGATCTCAACAGAGGAAACGTTGAAATGTCTTTACGTGATGCTTACGAATCTGGATTGATAATAGACAACAAAGCAGCTGTTTCATTGCAACGAGCTATCCATCAAGGATTATACGACGATAAAACTGGAAAAATTGTTGATCCTGGTACTGGCAGAACAGTAACACTTCACGAAGCTATGAGAAAGTGTATAATCGGACCTACCTTACCTTGTTATTGGGATAAACGTTCGGAAAGATTGTTGTCATTAGCTGAAACTTGTCGTGCTGGGGTGATAGATAGACGTTCGGGAATGTTCAAAGAACCTGGTGCTAATTGTACAGTGACATTATCTCTCGCATTACAACATGGACTGATCGTTGATATTGAAAGCATGGGATTTGGATTATACGAAGCAATACTTATGGACATGTACGATTCTTCATCTGGAAAATTCATACATCCTTTGAACAATAAAAAGCTTACATTGGCTGAAGCTATTCAAATCGAAATGATTAATCCATTAATTTCGATAGTGAAGAATGCAAATACCAATAAGTATATTCTATTAGCAGAAGCGATATCTGAAAAAATCATTGACGATATTCGTGGCACGTACAATACCTCAACAATGACAATGAATTTACAAGATGCCAGGAAAAAAGGTTTCATTGTAACCTACAAAACTCCACTTTCTATAGAAGAAGCTGTTAAATGTGGTTTGTATCGTGGTGACAGTGGGAAGTTCGCTAAACCAATAGCCAATGAATTTTACGACTTGGTTCAAGCTTTGTCAGTCGAATTGATAGATCCAGATACAACAGCATTGAAGGATGCAACAACGGGACAAATAAAATCATTGCAAGCTGGAATCGATGATGGAACGATCGATGTTCCTAAAGGAAGAGTACTCGACCCTAAATCTAAACGATCATATAACATAGACGTTGCATTCGAACGTGGATTATTAGTGACAGTAGAAAAACCATTGACCCTTCAACCCCAAAGATCTTCGTTGGATGAACAAAAGGTTTCACCTAAAGAAGGTAACACACGAGAGTGTACAGTAGAAGAAGCAATCAAATATGAGTTGATTGATCCAAACGTATCGGTCGTAAGAGACCCAAGAAACGGAAGGTTCGTTGTTTTAAAGAAAGCTCTTGACGAGAATATCATCAACCCTACGGAAAAAGGTACGATCGAACCGCAAATTGGAAAATTACAAAGCAGGTGCATACGTTTTGGTGAAAACACAGTTTTCCTAATCCCACCTTTATCATTCGAAGAAACCTTAGAAAAAGGACACCTGTCCTTTGATACTGGAAAAGTAACAGACCCAAATACCAACGAGCAAATAACATTGAAAGAAGCCGTCACACTTGGTATCATTGATCCGGATTCAGCATTGATAAAAGATGCACAAAAGAAAAAATTAGTCAGATTACCTGAAGCATTTAGGAAAGGAATGATGGAACCAGAAAAAGGAAATGTTTTAGATACAGAAACATCCAAATTGTATACCCTTGCTAAGGCTGTAGATATCGGTTTAGTTATGACACCCAAACAAGGCTTTTCGTTCATTGAAGCTTTAGAATTTGGCCTGTATAATCCGACAACAGGTGGTTTCCATGATCCATTTTTACTAACTTCGGTGTTAGAAAGAAAACGCTTGACATTGGCAAGTGCAATAGAGGGGGGTTTGATTGATCCGTCAAGTACGGTTATCAAAGATCCTATTACCGGTAATATTGTAAGTTTGTTGGAAGCTGTAAATAGTGGGAAGGTAGATAGTGTGGCGGGAAGGTTTTTTGAAGATCCAGAGGGAAAGAGTATCGACTTCGTGAAGGCCATGGAACGTGGTTATATTCTCACCGCAGAAGCTAGGGTAAGTCAGTTAGCTTTTGATGCTAATCCAATATTTTTTTTTCTATTTTTTTTTTTTGTTTCCTATTTCAAAATCCTAATCTTATATTAATATTGTAACAACCTAATACATAGCTTGTGCTAGAGAGGTTAAGGATTGTTGCACTTTTCTGCTTATCCCAAAATTCCGGTTGCCATCATTGAATTTGATATTTTATATATATATATACATACACACATGCACATTGATCGAATTCTTCTTCATCATCGTGGTTGTCGATCTTATAGAATTCACCCCCCACCCTTTTTCATTATAAAAAAAATATTCAATGGCATGTAATTTCTTTTTTTTTCATAACCTCCAATTAAGCATGGGTTTCACGAACTATATATATATAATATATATAGTATGTCATAGTTTCACATAATTTTTCAATGAAAAAACTCATATATTGTAATATACAAACACCATGATCCATTTTTAAAGTGAAATTTGCATGGGATACTCGTTGGAATCATTTATTTGTACAAATTTGTCCCAAACTTATCCAAATAATATTCAATGATATATTTTTTATTTTTTTATTTTTTTTTTTTTATAATTGTATAAATAATGTTTTATGTTTAATGTGGTTTACTTTTTTTTTTTTCTCATTTGTTCACAAACATCATCCTTGACGTCCACGCATCAATCGTGCTTTGTTTAAATCACTTATTCGTGTAACAACACTTGGGGATAATTTAATTAGGTGAATAAAAAAGGGATCGATCATTATTTTCATAAAAAAATAAAATAAAATAAAATGGTGGACTAACAATAAAAGTTTCTTCGAAGCTTCCAACAATGTCTTCTTCCATCATTCATCGAACCTCGCGTGATCCGAGGATGCAATTCACAAACCAATGACATTCTAAATAATAATAATAATAATAATAATAATAATAATAATAATAATAATTTATCGAAATCGTTTGTTAATGTTAATGTTAATTAAAAAATACAAATTAAATCCATTAATTCTTCAAATCATCATCTTATCGCAACAGCAACGCTAATTCGGCCTTTTCATTTTAAACAAAACAAAAACATATATATATATATACTAAATAATTGATGAATAATTATCATTTATAAGTAACATATGACAATGTAACACACTTATATTATTAATTAATATATTTTTTTTTAAATATATATATATACTTTAAGAATATTTAATATTTATAATATAAATATTAATATGTTCAATCAAATTTCATACTACAGAGATTGACGTGAGTTTGATTCAAATTAATGATTCGAAAATGTTTACAAATTGATTATCAAGGCCTAATTAGTTTAATTTTTTTTATTTGCCACAAAAAAAGAATAAAATTTATCTATCATTCGATATAACCCATTCGTCATCATCTGACCACCCCATTATAAAGGGGCGTTTAATTTATATCAAACTCGAGCATGATTTAATAACGAAAGGGTTAATGGTCACCATAAAAAAATAAACAAAATTCATAACAATTTACACGTATCATAATTATTTATCAAAAACATTTTCTAATCATTTGATTATAATGCTTCATTAATTATAAATTATCTTGATCATTGTTTTATTTAATTTTTTAAAGCTTTATTTTTAAAATAATATTATGTTGCATTCAAACAAAAGTTGAATTGAACGCATTATAACATTTATTTAAAAAAAAAAAAAAATGAATATTATATTATTATAATTTTAATTATATTTGAAATCTGATTCTCACAATCTTTGAGTTTGAACAATTTTTTTTATCTAATTATTATTAACTCAATTAATAATAATAATAATAATAATCGTCTTAAGTTCTATATTTAATTTTAATCATTTTAATAATTTTAAATAATCGTATAATTATATGTGTTGTTATTTATTAATGATAATCGTATACTTTATAAATGTTATTTTTCCTTTTTTTTCCAGGTGTTGTAATAATTGTGTTTTATTTGTTTTCTTTCTCTTGAAGTTTCTTTATTTCTATAATACATATATAGAGCACGACATTTAAATGGGGAAACAAAACAAAAAATATGAAATGAACCATATATTCAACCGCATAAATAATTAATACAACATATTGTTATGACATATATGTTTATTACATTATTTGCAAATTTTAATTTTATTATACAAGAATGACCACCACATCGTGCCATTTTATATATATATATATTTATTTTTATATCTATATATATATAATTTTTTACACTATATATATATTTATTCATCATCGTTATGCGTTTTAATTTATTTGCTGAACAAATAATGCAATAAAAAATATTATTTTTTTATGATTTTTTTTTTTTTTTAATATTAGAGGTTAAGCTTCATTTTTTCGCTCATAAATTTATTTTTTTGATTATTAAGCTTTTTAAAATGCCGCATATATATTTAAAAACCCAATACGTATAAACAAAACAAAATATAATATGCGGCTTTTACTTTGCAGATAAATTAAAGCTACCATACAAAACTGTTATCTATTATCTACTGTTATTATCAGTGTATGTGTGTTTGTGCTTGCATGTGTGAGATATGTCATAAGCTTCTATATTCTATTCTACTTTTTTTTCAATTTCTATTCTTTATATTTAGCGCCAACTGTCATTGGTAAGATGACAGTAATTATTTCTGTAACGCAAAACAATCAAATTTATTCCACCCTTCCTAATTTTCCTCCTCTTCTCTTCTCTTCTCTTCTTTTTTTAAATAATTTTGATTCCAGTTCAAAAATAAGTATATTTATTATTTGTCTTAATTTTGTTTAATTTTGTCTATTTTGTAGCAAGCGGTAGAAGAAAAATACAAATTGTGCGACGAAACGTTGTCCAAATTGTTGCAATGGATATCCGAAGTTGAAGATAAACTTGCTAATCAAGATACTGTTAGAGAAGATATTGATGAATTAAGAAATCAGATAAACGTCATGAAAGTAAGAAAGAAAACAAATCTCTAACTCAATGAATGTTTGATCTTCGTCATTTCATTTTGTTTCATTTTCTTTTTTGTTAATGAATTCTGATCAAACCATTAGGAGATCAAAGAGGATTTGGAATCTCATGGTCGTCAAGTTTCATCATGTTTGGATCAAGTTCGTCAAGTTGTATTAACTGGTAGCGACGTTTTATCAAGTGATGAAGTTTCAACATTGGAAAAAAGTGGTAGATCACTTAAAACAAGATTTGACAAGACTACTGACCGTGCTGACAAATTGGTCAGACGTTTGGTCGGTGCCAGAGATGAATTATGCAAATTCAAGTTTGTATTTCATATTTTTGGTCTTCAACAAAGAAAAAGAAAAATACAATGTTGATTTATATTTTCTATTTTTGTAGGAATGAATTGTCAACATTTACAGTATGGTTGGACAAAGCACGTAGAACTTTGGAAAATAAAGAAAGATCATTATCAGATTTGAATAAATTAAGTAGCAGTGCTGATACAACCCGTGATTTTATCAGCGACGTTATAGCACACCAAGCTGATCTTAGATTCATAACAATGGCTGCACAAAAATTCGTTGATGAAAGTAAAGAATATTTACAAATATTGAATGAATTTAGAACAAGTTTGCCACAAAGATTACCTCATAAGGAACCAACAGCTAGTCAAGATTCACCAGTAAGACATGAGGTATCAGTTGTTACAACACAATACAAGGATTTGTTGACACGTGCCAATCAATTGTCAGATAGATTGTCGGGTGTTGGTGGAAAACAACGTGATTATAATGAATCATTGGAAAAAGCTAACGCTTGGTTGAGAGAAGTTGAACCTAAAGTACATAGAATAATATCAGAAGCAATTGCAGCTGAACCTAAACAAGTTGAAGATCAATTGAACAAAGCTAAAGCATTGAACAACGAGTTCTTAGCTAACGAACGTTTAATAGACGTTGCTAAAAATAGCGTGGATGCATTATTAAGATCACTCGATGGACAATTGACACCTCACGAAGTTGATGCACTTCAAGATCCAGTTAGGGTTGTTGAAGATAAGTATAAACAACTTAGTGAAGCATTGCAAGCTAAATGTCAAGAATTGGATACAGCATTGGTACAATGTCAAGGAGTTCAGGATGCTTTGGATGGTTTGGTTATTTGGTTGAACAATGCTGAAAGTCAATTCAAGTAAGTTTATCATAATTTTGATCACACAATGATGTTAATTATGATATAAATGTTAATTTGTTTTGTTTGAAGGAATCTTCAACGTCCAGCAAGTTTGCAAAAAGAACATTTGGAAGAACAGCAAAGGGAACAACGTTTATTGCAAGCTGATTTAGATAGTCATCGTTTAAGTGTAGATGCAATTGCTGCTAGTGCCCAAGATCTTTTATTGAATTCTAACAACGTACGTGTTGCCAAACGTATCGAGGGTAAACTAAAAGATGTACAAAGTAGATTTGAAAAACTCATGGACAAATCATTGCGACGTGGTGAATTCCTCGACGATGTTGTTCAAGCACTCAACGAATTTCTCGTTGAAACATCCAAATTTGAAAGTTGGTATTCGCATATGATCGAATCACTCGAATCCAGAGAATTGAACAAACTTGATGTATCCGAATATGAAAATAAAATGACCGAATTGATAGACAAACGGGAAGAACAAAAAGGATATTTCGAGGATCTTATTAAAAATGGAAAGAATTTGGTTTCTAAAAAGGATATTACTGAAGCAACAGCTATCAGAGACAAAATCAAAGTACTCGAATCGCAATGGAAAGAATTAAACAATCTTCTCGATGAAAAACAAAGATTAAGTAAATCCAGGGCTGAACAATTGTCAGCTTATGAAAAATTGCGAGATCAAGTGATCGATTGGTTGACACGTACGGAAAATAAATTGCAAAGATTGGAACCTGTGGCCGTTGATTTGGACAAATTGAAAAAACAAGTTGAAGAATTGAAACCTATACAAAAAGAATATCGCGATTATGGCGGTACTGTTGATAAAATAAATGATCTTGGTATAGCTTATGACAGTTTATTGAAGGAACGTGGTGAAAGTCCAACTCGTCGTCGTGGTAGTACAAGCCCAACCAAAAGACCAGGTAATTCTAAATTTGTAAAATAATCATCCTATATACACACACATACGCGTGCACCTACATTCCAACATGTCATCTCATTTCGTGGAATTAGATGATTGGGTTTGTTTTTTTCTTCTTTTTTGTTTTGCAAACATACAACTCTTTATTTTTATTTTTCTTAACCGCGTCATCATCGTCATACTTATCATTTTTGTGTTTTTTATTTATTTTTTTTTGTAGTACGACGTATGTCACAAGACGGTCGTTCACCATCTCCCACAAAAGGCTACGCCCTACAAAGTCCGGTATCTCCAGGTGGTAGCAGCGGATTTAGCAGCCGACGATCTAGCCAAGATGGTTTCCATTTGGAAGATTTATCACCCGTTCAACAACAATTGTCAGAAATCAATAACAGATATGGTTTGTTAGGTGTAAGATTGACTGATCGTCAAACAGATTTGGATAACGTTAAGGAAGAATTAAGAAAACATTTGGATAATTTGAAAACACTTTCACTATTCTTGGACAAGGTAGAAATTTTGTATTATTGTTCATACCAGTGCTTGATGTTGTACGTGTAAAAGTTTTACGATCATATAATCATTTTTCAGATTCAACGTCAATTACCGAAAGAAAGTATTCCAACGGTGAAAGATGAGGCAGATAAAACGGTAAAACAGATCAAAGTAATCGTCGAAGAAATGTATGAGAAACAATCCCTGTTAGACAGTACAAGAACCCAAGTACGCGATTTGGTCAGACGTAAAAAAGGTGCCGATGGTAGTGACAGGTTAAACGACGAAATGGAAGACGTAGCCAGTCGTTGGAAATCAATTTCCGACAGTTGCAAGGATAGAATTAAATTTTTGGAAGATATCAAAGACTTTTACGACACATTTGACGGTCTCAATTCGTGGTTAGGTGCAAAGGAAAGAATGTTGGGTGCACTGGGTCCCATATCGTCAGATCCAAGAATGGTTTCTAGTCAAGTTCAACAAGTTCAAGTATTGAGGGAAGAATTTAGAACTCAACAACCTCAATTGGATCATTTGTTCCAAGTTGGTGAAAATGTTCTCGCAAGAATATCACCTGATTCACCGGACAATCAAAAGATCGGTCAAAAGTTGCGCAACATTTTAGAAAGATGGGCTGATCAAGTAAGTCGTTTGGACGAACGTGGACAAAGTTTAGGTGATGCTGTTGGTACCAGTCGGGAATTCGATGCAAGTCTTAATCGTCTTCGCGATGCACTGCAAACAATTTCCGACAATTTAGATGATTTACCTCTCGACAAGGATCCGGAAGAACAATTGAGAAAGATTGAAAATTTGGAGAGACAATTGGAAGGACAGAGACCATTGTTGGCTGACGCTGAAGCAGCTGGTGGACAATTGTGCGAAGTATTAAGTGACCCAGCATCGAAATCCGAGATTCATGGTAAATTAACAGCTGTTGGTAAATTGTACGTCAACTTACAGAAGAAATTGGATCATAGGAAAGCTGAAATCGAAGGTAATCTTAGAGATGGTAGACAATTCGAAGCTTCTTGCAGTAAAACGTTGGGTTGGCTTGCCGATGAGCTTGGTAATATGTCAGAAAAATTATTGGTTTCGGCTGATCGTGAAATATTACAACAACAACTCGATCATCACGAACCTGTTTATCGTAATGTAATGGCTAAAGAATACGAAGTCATAATGCTACTTAACAAAGGACGCGACATAATCAATCGTTCACAAAAATCTGAAAATCGTTCGTTACAACGTGATCTTGATAAAATGCAATCCCAATGGGATCGTTTGAAAAAAGATACCCTCGACAGACACGTCAAGTTACAAACTTGTGCTGAACATTGTAAAAAGTATTACAGAGCACAGGACCAATTTTTACCATGGTTGAGACAGGCTGAAGATAAATTGGAAAGTTTAAAACCAGCATCTTTCAAACGCAAAGATATTGAAAAACAATTAAAGGAATTGTCGTCGTTCAGAAACGAAGTTTGGAAGCGTTCAGGTGAATTCGAAAATAACAAAACACTTGGTGAATCTTTCCTTGGTGCTTGTGACATCGATAAGGAAATAGTCAAAAACGAATTGAACGCCATGAAAACAAGATGGGACAAATTGAACAATGGTAAAGTATAGAATTTAATTAAATTAACGTCAATTACTCTCTTATCTACATTGATATAATTGTTACATTTTAATATTCTTAGATCTTTTGGAAAGAACGCAATCCTTGGAGGACACCGCGCGTCATTTGACAGACTTCGTTGAAAATCTTCGTGATTTGAAACACGATTTACAACGTTGCGAAGACAAATTGGCATCTCACGACGCCCTTGGTGGTGCAGCTAAAGATCCAAAACTTCTCGATAGAATTAAGGTAAATGCAACAATCTTAAATATTGCAGCAACAACCAAATCATTTTTATTTTACACATTTTATTTATCCTCGCAGAATTTACGAGAAGAAACAGCTAGTTTGAAGAAGCCATTACAAGGGGTACGTAAACAGGCGAATGATTTGGTAAAGAAGGCCGACGAACAAGGAGTGGATGCAACACATTTGCAAGATGAAGTTGACAACGTGACCGATCGAATCGATGATTTGCAAGCAAAATTAGATGACAGGTGTAACGAATTACAAAGTGCTGCAACTGCTATGGCACAATTCAACGATCACGTTAAAATTATCAGTCAACACATAGCATCTATTGAAAAAGAATTAGATTCAATGAAAGCTCATGGTCGTGAAATTAAAATCGTTCGTAGTCAATTGGAAGATATCAGCAAAATCGTACACAGAATTAATAAACTTTTCGATGAAGCTAACGATCTGGAAAGTCTTGGTGAACGTTTGGTCGACAGTGGATTTGCCGCTGATACCGTTGCAACCAGACAACAAATAGAAGGTCTTAAACGACAAATTGGAAAGCTCGATGAACGTGCTCGTAACAGGGAAGAAGAATTAACCAGTACGTTAAATACATTGCAAGAATTTTATCAAGCACTCGGTAACGTCATGGATGAAATTGCTGATGCCAACGATCAAGTTAGAAAATTCAAGCCAGTTGGTTCTGAAGTAGATTCAATCAAAGCACAGCAAGAAGATTTCATAGCACTTAAGATGAACAAGATAGAACCTATTTCTAGCAAAGTTGAATTTTGCAATGCCCTTGGACGAGGACTCGTTCAAACTGCTGGTCGTGATGTTAGCACCACAAATATTGAAAAGGATCTCGACAAATTGAACGATAAATGGAATGATTTACAGGATAGGGTATGTATTTGTTTTTTTTTTCTTTTTAGGTTTACTTGGTTACATCGTTAAACATATATTATCTTCTCATTTCTAGTTGAACGAACGTGACAGAAAATTAGACGTAGGTTTACTCCAATCAGGTAAATTCCAAGAAGCTTTGAACGGTTTAGAAAAATGGTTAACCGATACAGAAGAGATGGTTTCCAATCAAAAACCTCCATCGTCTGATTACAAAGTGGTCAAGGCACAATTACAAGAACAGAAATTCTTGAAGAAGATGTTGATGGATCGTCAAAATTCTATGTCATCTTTATACAACATGGAACAAAAAGTAACGGCCGGTGCTGATTCAAAGGAGAGAAAAGTTATCGAGAAACAGATGAAGAATTTAATGGGAAGATTTGATAATTTGACCGAAGGTGCTGCAGAAAGAATGGACGCATTGGAACAAGCTATGACCGTTGCTAAACAATTCCAAGATAAATTGATACCACTTGCCACTTGGTTGGACAAAACGGAAAAGAAAGTTAGGGAAATGGAACTGGTACCAACCGACGAAGAAAAAATTCAACAGCGTATTTCCGAGCATGCTGTACTTCACAGCGACATATTATCCAAAAAACCGGATTTCAGCGAATTGACAGACATAGCCAGCCAATTGATGGCACTTGTCGGTGAAGATGAAGCAACTGCTTTGGCTGATAAACTTCAAGACGTTGCCAACAGATATGCCACACTCGTCGAACGTTCGGAAGCACTCGGTGAACTTTTGCAACGTTCGAGACAAGGCCTAAGACATTTGGTTCTCACCTATCAAGATTTGCAAGCCTGGATGGAAGGAATGGAAGTTAGGCTTTCGAAATACAGAGTATTGGCTGTTCACACTGAAAAACTTTTACAACAAATGGAAGATCTAGCAGATTTAACCGAAGAAGTATCTACTAGACAAACAGAAGTAGACAGTACAACCGATTCCGGTTTGGAATTGATGAAACACATTTCCAGCGACGAGGCACTCAGATTGAAAGACAAATTGGATTCGTTGCAACGTCGTTTCAATGATTTGGTTACACGTGGATCAGATCTTCTTAAACATGCACAGGAAGCATTACCATTGGTACAACAATTCCATGACAATCATAATCGTTTGATGGATTGGATGCAAGGAGCGGAATCAGCTTTGCAATCTGCTGAGACTCGCGAGGATGAAATCATAAGATTGGAAATGGAAATATCAGAATACAGGCCAGTTCTTGATAAAATCAATGCTGTAGGACCACAATTGTGTCAAATATCACCAGGAGAAGGTGCTGCTACTATTGAAGGTCTGGTAACTCGAGACAACAGAAGATTCGATGCAATTGCTGAACAAATTCAAAGGAAAGCCGAAAGAATTCAATTGAGTAAGCAACGTTCTTTAGAAGTAATCGGTGACATCGATGATCTCCTCGATTGGTTCAGAGAAGTTGACAATCAATTGCGTGAAGCCGAACCACCTAGTAGCGAACCTGAGATAATAAGAGTACAATTGAAAGAACACAAGGCCTTGAACGATGACATATCCAGTCAGAAAGGTCGTGTTCGCGATGTCATTTCAACGGCTAAAAAAGTAATCCGTGAAAATGCACATCACGAGGACACGTCAACGATACGCGACAAAATGGAAGAATTACGAGAAACTATGGAACTTGTATCGGGTCTTTCATCTGACAGATTGGGTGCTTTGGAACAAGCGTTACCATTGGCTGAACATCTTCGTGACACACACGCGGGTCTTGTCAGTTGGTTAGAAGAAGCTGAACATCAAGTGGCCATGTTACCGATGCCTGCTTTAAGACCTGACTTGATAGCAGCCCAACAAGACAAAAATGAGATTCTCATACAAAGCATCAATGAACACAAACCTTTGGTAGAGAAATTGAATAAGACTGGCGAAGCTTTAACTAAATTATGCAATGAGGAAGAAGGTTCGAAAGTACAAGATATCGTGGATAACGATAATGCACGTTATGCAGCATTGAGAGCAGAACTTAGAGGTCGTCAACAAACATTGGAACAAGCTTTGCAAGAATCATCCCAATTTTCTGACAAATTGGAAGGTATGTTACGTGCGTTAACGTCAACTGCTGATCAAGTGCACGGTGCTGAACCGGTTAGTGCACATCCACCAAGATTACGAGATCAAATGGAAGAGAATGCAGCATTGGCTGAAGATCTTGCTCAAAGATCGGAAGCATATGCTGCTGTAAGAAAAGCTGCTGACGATGTTATCAGTAAAGCAGGTAACAGAGCAGATCCTGCAGTTAAAGACATCAAACGTAAGCTCGACAGGTTGAATCAATTATGGACTGACGTGCAAAGATCAACGACGGAACGTGGCCACACCTTGGACGACACTTTGTCCATTGCAGAAAAATTCTGGTCAGAATTGAATGGTGTTATGTCAACATTGAGAGAATTGCAAGATGCATTAGCAGGACAAGCACCACCAGCTGCTCAACCAGCTGCCATACAACAGCAACAAGTTGCATTGCAAGAAATACGACAGGAAATTGATCAAACTAAACCCGACGTTGAACAAGTAAGAGCATCCGGTCACGAATTGATGGGATTATGTGGTGAACCAGACAAACCGGAAGTACGAAAACACATCGAAGATTTGGATCAAGCTTGGGACAACGTTACAGCCCTTTATGCCAGACGTGAAGAAAATTTAATCGATGCCATGGAAAAAGCCATGGAATTCCACGAAACTCTTCAAAATCTTTTAGAATTCTTACAGGAAGCTGAAGATAGATTCGCTGACATGGGACCACTCGGTAGCGACATAGACGAAGTTAAAACTCAAATCAAACAATTGGCTAATTTCAAAGCTGAAGTTGATCCACATATGGTCAAGGTCGAAGCATTGAACAGGTAAAACTTTTGTAAAATCTTTTCTACAATTGGATTTACTCGAATTTTATTATCTTTATTTATTTATTTTTTTTTTTTTCTTTCTTTCTTTAAAACACAATGTCAGATAACAAATTTTGCATTTACAAAGAGTTCAGTGCACCCGCATTGTCCCCTTTGTGAGATTTCTTGGTTTTCTATTTTTTTCATTTTTTTCTACTTCTTCTCTCTTTTTTTTTAATAATATTTGGAAGAATATTGAGAGAGAAAACCTGTAAGTCAAACAAACTTTAATTCTAATCCCAACATTTTTGTTTTTTCCGTGCCGGTTCCCGAACATAGGAGTCTGACAAGGCAAGTCAACCTCTCTCTCTCTCTCTCTTTCACTCTCTCTCTTTCTCTTTCTTATTCTCTATGTTATTATTGTAGTTAGAGCATGGCTTAACATACTTTTAAAAAAAGTAACTTCATTATTGATCAAAATAACAGATTTTGTTTTACTCTTTAACCCCATTGATTGATTTATTGTATGAAACAAAGTAACGCGTTTTAATTTGATACCCAAAGTATTTATTTATTATTTCATTTGATTGAACCACCGTCCTCCTCATCATTTAGTCGCATGCAAGAGGTGTGAAATTAAATAAAATCAATCCATGTGAACAACAACGTGAACAAACAACCCCCAACCTGTAAACTGAATAATATTACTGATTTTTAGTTTTACGTTTGTGTCCATTAATCTTACCAGTAGTTTTGAAGTATTTTATTTTTGATGTTGTTTTCTTATTAGCAGGATATTCTCATTTACAAGTTTCCCCAAACCCGCCCACCCCCTTAAATCCCAGTAGGTGTGGCCTTGAAAATTTGTCTGGCTAGAATCCAAAGTACTTTAAATATCATATTAAATCCTAATAATTAACTGTACACACTTCTAACTTTGATAATTTCATTAAATTTAGGCAAGCTGCTGAATTGACTGAAAGAACATCGTCAGAACAAGCGGCAGCTATCAAGGAACCACTGGGTGCTGTTAACAAACGTTGGGATGGTTTGCTCAGAGGTGTTGTTGAGAGACAACGACTTTTGGAAAATGCGTTGTTACGATTAGGACAATTCCAACACGCATTGGACGAGTTATTAGTTTGGATCGATAAAACTGATAGAACTTTGGATAATTTGAAAGCAGTTGCTGGTGATCCACAAGTTATCGAAGTGGAATTAGCTAAATTGAAGGTTTTGGTGAACGATATTCAAGCTCATCAAACAAGCGTGGACACATTGAACGATGCTGGAAGACAATTGATCGAAGATGGCAAAGGTACAGCAGAGGCATCAACAACTGCAGAAAAATTGGGCACGTTGAATCGTCGTTGGAGAGATTTGCTGCAACGTGCTGCTGACCGTCAAAGAGAATTGGAGGATGCATTGCGAGAAGCCCAATCGTTCACAGCTGAGATACAAGATTTGTTATCGTGGTTGGGTGACGTTGACAATATGATCGTAGCTTCCAAACCTGTCGGTGGTTTACCCGAAACAGCATCAGAACAATTGGAACGTTTTATGGAAATTTACAACGAATTAGAACAAAATCGTCCTAAAGTTGAAACCGTTTTACAACAGGGACAGGAATACATGAAACGTGCCGATGCAAGTAGTGCTGGTGGTCTCAATCACAATCTAAGAACTTTGAAACAAAGATGGGACAATGTAACTGCACGTGCCAGTGATAAAAAGATCAAATTGGAGATAGCATTGAAGGAAGCTACCGAGTTCCATGACGCTTTACAAGCATTCGTCGATTGGCTGACAAATGCTGAAAAGATTTTGACGAATCTCAAACCTGTTTCGAGAGTTATGGAAATTGTATTGTCTCAAATAGAAGAACATAAACAATTTCAAAAAGATGTGGGTGTTCACAGAGAAACTATGTTAAATTTGGATAAAAAGGGAACACATTTGAAATATTTTTCACAAAAACAGGATGTGATACTTATTAAGAATTTATTAATAAGCGTTCAACACAGATGGGAACGTGTTGTATCAAAATCAGCTGAGAGAACTCGTGCGTTGGATCATGGTTATAAAGAAGCAAGAGAGTTTCACGATGCATGGTCGAATTTGCTCAATTGGTTGGACGAAACGGAGAAAACTTTGGACGAAGTTGCTACCGATGGTCTTGGTGGAAACGATCCAGAAAAGATCAAATCACGTTTGAACAAACATCGTGAAATTCAAAAAGCATTGAGTGCTAAACAAGGTACTTACGATACTACCATGAAAAATGGTAAAACGTTGAAAGATAAAGCACCGAAAACTGACGAGTTAGCATTGAAAGAATTATTGATTGAATTGAAGAACAAATGGACAATCGTGTGTTCTAAATGTGTCGACAGGCAAAGAAAATTGGAAGAAGCTTTATTGTTCTCGGGACAATTCAAAGATGCAATTCAAGCTCTTTTAGATTGGTTAGGTAAAATGGAAAAGAATTTATCTAACACTGGACCGTTGTATGGTGATTTGGACACCGTTACGAATCTCGTTGAACAACACAAAACTTTCGAAAAGGATTTGGAATCTCGTAAATATCAAATGGAATCTGTCATCAAAACTGGATACGAATTGCAATCTAAAGCTTCAGTTGAAGATGCTTCCTTGATTAAATCACAATTGTACGAACTCAATACATTATGGGACGCCGTGACTGATCTGTCATTGAAAAAATCTGAAAGATTGGAGGAAGCTATGAGAGAAGCAGAACGTTTGCACAAAGCTGTACACGTTTTGCTCGAATGGTTGAGCGACGCTGAAATGAAACTCAGATTCGCTGGACAATTACCAGAAGATGAACAAGAAAGTAGAAACCAATTGATGGAACATGAAAAGTTCCTACGCGAATTGAAATCTAAAGAAGTGGAAAAGGACAATACTTTGGAATTGGCACACGTGATTTTGGGTAAAGCTCATCCCGATGGGGCTGCTGTTATCAAACATTGGATTACAATTATCCAATCTAGATGGGAAGAAGTTTCTATTTGGGCTCAACAAAGAAATCAAAGGCTTGAAAATCACATGCGTGGTCTACAAGTAAATCGATTAAACATTTTAATTAATTAATTAATTAATTAAAATATCATTGTTTATGTTTGTAATATGTCTTGTAGGATCTGGACAATCTTTTAGAGGAATTGTTGGCTTGGTTGGAAGGATTGGCAAACACATTGAACACTCTTGAAAGTGAACCACTTCCTGACGATCGTCCAACTCTCGAAATGCTCATTGCTGATCACAGAGAATTTATGGAAAATGCTAGCAGAAGGCAGAACGAAGTTGATCGTGTTTGCAAAGCTAGACAAATCAAAGCTGCTAAGGAAGGACGAAAAGTACCAAAAGCTAAATCACCAGCACCTGTGTGAGTAGAATTCAAATGTTAATCATTTCATCGTGTATACAATTCAAAATGACATCCAAATTTAATTATCATTTTAAACAAATCGGTTAGCATAATGCTAGGATCGTTATTTTATTGATCAATCATTTTCAATTAGCTGAAATTAAGTCATTAATTTAAAAAGATTACATCTTTTTTATTTGTTATAGAAATAATATCAAATTAATGTTGCTTTATATGTACTTTAACAATTATAAACAAAATTGCAGCTTGAATTATGTTCGATTACATGGAGAGAATTTTTTTTTTATGAACGTTTTTTATTATTCATGTTTTGGCACAAATATATGTATAGCACGTGTTGTTTTTTAGTTTATTTTTTATATTTTATGTTGGCACCTATTTTATGTTTATGTTCTTATGCTTGTATCATTTGTAATTTGTGTACGTTTTTGCATGTTATTTTAAATATTTCGGGACAGCAGTAAGGAACAATACCAAGATGTGGAACAGGAACAACCACCTTCCAGAAAGCAAAGGTATAATTTTCTAATTCAAAAGAGAAATCATTCGAATTTTCATTCATTTCATCGATAAAATCGCATGGAATATACTACGTGACGTATAATTTGCTTTATTTATTTATTCATTTATTTATTAGCATTATTGTTCAATATGTAAAGCTTGAAATTAGTTGTGTAATTTTACAACTATCATTGCATGATTTTTGAAATTAAATGTTTGCTTAATGTGCATATATTTGGCTAATGTAAATTAACATAAACACGTAGGAACATTTAACAAACACTTCTCACTAAATTCAATGTTTTCCCTGAAAAATAAGAAGAAGGTACACAGTCCACAAAATCTGAACTCGGTGAACATGGTGAAGCTGCATAAATTGGAAGACAAAAGAAGAATCTCAAATCAAATTCCTAACACTCTTATGCATCTTTGTTTAAGTAATGTTATTAACAAACTTACTAACAATATGTAGTAAATATTTCACTAATCTTTCGCTATTGTTTGTTCAATTCAAAAAAATCAAATTGATCAACTAATACATCAATTTTGAGAAAACTCATCCATTCACCTAATGTTACACATCAAATTAAATAAATAAAAATTGGATTAAACAAAAGCATTATAAATTATTATATACACATACATAACATGCATACATTAAAAACACTCATACATTTGCATAATTGTACCTCACAATTTAAAAACAACTTATCACATATTTAAAAGAAACACCCCATTTTCTTCATTCATACTCAATACACTCATAATTACAACATAAAAAGAAGGGACATATAGTATAGTATTTATTTAAAAATAAAAACAACACTGCATTGAGACGCAGAAAAATTGAAAAGCAAAATCAGAAGCCTCTCCTACGTGTAAGGTCCAGTAGAGAGTGTTTTGAGTGACGTGAGGCATGTTCTTGTTTAGCCGAGCCAGCCCGGGTCGTGACAGGACGCCAGATCTTTCATTGCCACACATTGGTCCACGTTTTCCACCGAAAGGAAGGTGCGTGTGCGTTTCGGACATTTTGTTTCTTTTGAGAAAAATAAAACACATACAGAGTATCGTTTATCAATGATAAACCTATCATTTGATTTTCAAAATCCTATCATTTGATTTAACATTTTTAATTTGTCCTTTTTTCTCTAATATTCCCCCATCTTGCATTTTTTAATTTATTTATTTCATTTTGTTCTGTTTATTTTCAATGTTTACATTCGTTACGTTAGGGGTGTATCCGTTTAATTGTGCCGTTTCAAAAAAAAATACAAATCTTGTATTAACAGAAATCAAATGAACAATTTATATCATGATACTATTTAAATGTTTTATTGTTGAATGTTTAATTTATTTTAATTTTGCGTTTTTCTTTTTCTTCCCTTTTTTTTTCCTACAATTCTCCTAAGCAGCAAAGGAGCAGAACCAGAGTTCCGTAGTCCAAGGGTGAAACTTTTATGGGACAGGTGGCGTCACGTTTGGATGTTAGCGTGGGAACGTCAACGTCGTTTACAAGACAAATATAATTACATTCAAGAATTGGATCGGGTTGCTAATTTCAGTTGGGAAGATTGGCGCAAGAGGGTAAGCAGAAAAATTCATTTTATATATAATCATACTTTATACAAAATAATATCCTATTTCTTTTTTTACAGTTCCTCAAGTTTATGAATCATAAAAAATCAAGACTGACAGATCTGTTCAGAAAAATGGATAAAAATAATGACGGTCTTATACCCCGTGAAGATTTCATTCAAGGAATAATGAACACCAGTTAGTATAACAATAATGTTTACTTTTAAAACCCAACACTCTCTTGTTTTGTAAACAATGAGTCAGACTCATGGTAAACAAAAATTGTGGGCACAATAAGCATGAGCCTGACTCGTGGTTCAATTGTTACTTGATTATTTATTTATTAAATTATTGTTCATAATTAATACTTGAATTAATAAGCAAGTATTTGTATTGAATTTAGGATTTGAATTTAACATTTGAATTTAACATTTGTTTTTATTTTTGTTTTTTCTATAGAATTTGAAACATCTCGGTTGGAAATGGGAGCAGTTGCTGATTTGTTTGATCGTCATGGGGAAGGTTTGATTGATTGGAAAGAATTCATAGCTGCATTGAGACCTGATTGGGAAGAACGTCGTACTTACAATGACACTGATAAAATACATGACGAAGTTAAACGATTGGTCATGTTGTGTACCTGTCGACAAAAGTTCAGAGTTTTCCAAGTTGGTGAAGGAAAATACAGGGTAAGTTTCATTTAGTAATAAACATAATTGTTTAATATAAATAAAATTAATATTAATAATTATTTTAAATAATTGTATACGTTTTAAATGAATTTAGAATTGTTAAAAATATCAGCAAGATAAAATGGGACTCCTATTTGGGTTGGTGATGAAACCAAAATAGTTTAAATATAATAAAGGTCTAATATTAATTTTGTTATGATATAATAATTAATAGTAATAAATTATTCTCTTAAATAATTGCTTAAATTTCATAGTATATGTTATTATATAATGTTATATTAATTATTTGGGTTGCTGATAAAACAAAAATAGTTAGAAAATAGCAAAGTTTTAGTATTAATTTTGTTATGGTATCAGAATTAATAGTAATAAGTTATCAAATAATTCTTTGAATTTATGATACATATATATATTATTATTATATCATGTTATGTTGATTAAATTTGTATATTGAATTAATTAATATTATTTAAATTGTATTTTGTTTTTTTTTTATTTAGTTTGGTGACAGTCAAAAGCTACGTCTAGTCAGGATTTTAAGATCCACGGTTATGGTTAGAGTTGGTGGTGGTTGGGTAGCCCTAGACGAATTCCTATTGAAAAATGATCCATGTCGCGGTAAGTACTCACATATATATATTATTTATTTATTTATTTGCAAATGAAATGATATTAAAAACAATTCGGGTTACGGTAAGCTACCTTTCACAATATACAACTGCAATTTAATAAAATATTGAAATATCATACATAAAATCATTTATTAAAATAATTAATAAATAATTAATTATTTATTAATTTATTTATTATCTTACCTTAGCCCGAAAATTAAAAAAAAAATATATATATTTAAGACAATTCAAAGGTTAGGCAACGAATACAAAAAAGAAAAAAATCGTATGAAAAATCCGTAAGAGAAACAAAATAATTCTAAATTATTATATTAACAAAGTTATCTATATATATATTGAATTACTAAATAATAATAATAACATTGTGTGTATATATATACATATTATATATATCATAGTTGAAGTATGATATTTTCTGCCTGATTTTATTAATAATCGTGACAATAACACGCGTGTGATGATTTTTTTTTAAATGAGACAATAATTAGTAAATTAATTAATCTAATTAGCATTAGATTAGATTAACGCTATATAAAAGAACAAAAGAAAATATGTCTGAAATATTTTCACAAACGTTTAATCCTTTTTCCTTCCTCTCTTCTGAATCATCCCTTCCGAGGCAGCTAACGTGTGTCTTTTAATTTTCTATGTTATTATTTAATTAATTTTCGTTCTCTGTGTGAAATGATCATCATTAATAATTAATTAATTATCATATTAATATTAATGTTAATTAATAATTAATATATATAATCATTTGCGCATATGTTTGTTCTTTTTGTTTAATTTTTAATAATAATTTACAATTAATGCCAATTATTCTAATCATTTTTTATTTAATTGTCTAATTATTTTGCTTATTATTATTATTATTATTTAAATTAATTTATTATTTAATTTTTTTTTTAAATAAAATCATCATCTCTCTTGCATCTTGCAAATTTCACTTTGTGATGAATTTTTTTTTGATTAAAATTACGATGAAAATCGTACAAGTATATTTTAATTAACAAATTATTATATTTAAAATAATAAACAATTCGATTAATCGGTTTTTTTATTCGACGTGTTTACCAATTACCAAAAACAACAAAAACAAACCACCCCTTGTACCTTTTGAACAATGTTAAATAATCATAATTGCGTTTGTGTGTATGATCTCAACTCCTGAGGTACGAAAACGTTGTGATTAATCGCATCATTTATTAATAAACAAAATCAACTTTTTTTTAATAATATTAATAATAATATTAATAATAATAGAATGTGTGCAAAAGAGGGACGTGTATGAAAGAAAGTGTGTGTCCGCTGACTTTTATTTCTTTTGCTTAGCTGATTGCTAAACTAACAAATATATTTATAATAAATTAATAAAAGAATTATTTATTATAAATATATTATTATATTAAAAGGGTTATTATGGTTTGAGGGTTTTCATTGGGGGCTTTTAAACTGTATATGTTGCAATTAATATTAGTGATCATTATTATTTCAGAAAATTATTTTATTAATTTAATTAAATTGTTTATTTGAATTTTAATATTTAAACAATTATATAAATTTATCTAGAATTATTTTTACCATAAAAAAAAATATAATTTCATGGTCATAGTATTTTTTATGTAGTAAAAAAAAAAAAAAATAAAGTATTTGTAATATAAATTAAATTAATTTTCTGAAATAATACAAGATCGTTTAAAGATTGTAGATAAAAGGTACATTTAAAGTAGATAAATTAAATACTAATTTCCAATACTAATATTAAATAACTTAACCTTAATCCCATCCCATATTCTTTCCACATTTTCCCATATCTTTCTCTCTCTTTCTCTAAAAACACTTCCAAATATTCCAAATCATTGCAATATTTCATATTCTCTCTCTCTTTCTCTCTCTCTCTCTCACTCCTTTTCTTTATTTATGGTATATTTATAATATACAAATAATTTGAATTCCTAATTATTTTTTGGATCTAAATATCATCCCCCAAAAATGGTTTCGTATTTTTTTGTTTTTTGTTTTTGTTTTGATCGAAACATAACCTATATGTGTTGCATGGTATTTTTGATTCTTTCGTAAACAAAATTGATTGATTGATTGATTGACTGATTGATTGATTGATTGATTGAAAAACAAAATTAAAAACAAAAAAAAACATAACAAAATTATTCATAATTATCGTTAATGCGTTAAGTTTTTCTAATGCCAATACCGGATCCTAACAAACCGGAACAACATGAGGGCTGGTGTCCGCTCGGTGAGGACTTTTTTACATGCACAAACAAACATATTCATGGTCTATGTATTTTAATTAGGTGTAATTAATTATAGCAATCCCTTTTTGTACAAATATTTCTATTATTTCTTTTTTTTCTAATATTCAGTTTGCTTACAAGTCCCATGCAATGTTTGCCAAACCATAAAAAGTTAGTCAACTTTTTAACAAACTTGATTATTGATTTTTTTTTTTTTTTATTAAATAATGTAGATAAATTAATTATTTGATATATATTAAAAAAAAAAAAAAACACCAAGAATTATTATAGACCATGAAATTGATTTTCCCCCGTGTATTGTGCATGATACGTGTGAAGTTTTTCTATTCCTATTGTTTGTTATATTATTAAATATTGTAAATACAATTTATATTTAATATATCGAGCCCGCCTAATTTGTTGCCGTTGTTTGTATGGGTGTAACAAATACCTGATCGAGGTTAGACCATTAGATCAATCGCTAAGGCGTAAAAGTAGTTTAGAAAATATTTTTCTAATTTTTCTATGTTTGTAATTTTAAAATAAATTAATTATAATTGATGATAATATCGATTGCGAAATATAATAGTTGCGTCAGAATGAAGAATGTTCCTAGAAATTATTACCTCAAATTGGGTGATACAATAGAAATGATTAAGCTAATAATTTCTAAGGATATTCTTTAAATGGCGTTACGAATATTCTTCCATGCGATTTTATCATCAAAGATAATTAATACATATAATATATATTAAAAATTTAAACAAAACAGTATATTTTTATAGAAAATAAAAATATTTTTATAATAATTAAATTAAATGACAATCCACAGCCTAGCATTGAAATTATCTCGACTGGTGTAGTATTTTTGAAGTTGTGTACAGCAGTTGTTTTGACATCTTTTGGCATGGTGTTTTTTTTTGAAATAATTAATTAAAATACTTTTTGAGATGATTAATTTTGTTTTTTGGTTATTTTTTTCTTTTTTCTATTAATTATATTTAATTTATATTTTTTGTAAATAAACATTTTGGTAGAGATTGTTTGCTATGTAAAATATAACATTAAATATGCGGATTTTAAAGTACCACATTGGTTGGGTAGCTGATAAGAAAAAAAAATAGGAAGGAGATAAAAGAGGAGACGCCAAAAATATTGCAAAAATAAATGCAAGTAGTTGACAGCATGGTGGAAAGAAAGCAAATTATGGAAAGCACATGAATTTTTTTTTGTTTCCTTTCATTCGTTTCATGTTACAATAAACAAAATCTACTTTGTTTTGTTTTTGTTTTGTTTTTTTTTCATTTAATCTCATACAACATTTTTCTAATTTTGATTTCATTAGCGCTGTATTTTTTTTTATTTTCAAATGCAAATCATTTGAGTTAGCATGAAACGATGTTCATAATTATAAATATCGTGGCTTTTGTCAATGAAAGTATAAAAAAAAAAAACATAAAAAAAAGATAAATCATTAACCTGTTAACCGGGGAGTCCCCTTGGTCCGTACGTTAGTGATCTAGATGGCGCTACCCTACGCCTCCTTACTTTTTTTTGGCGGGAATAACTTGTTCACAATTTAATTATTATTATTTATGCTTAAAATAAATGAAAAGATTATGAAATATAAATTTTTTTCGTTTATTTATATATAAAGTACAAAAGTTTGTTGTACCTTAAGCTTTATAGTAATACGTTTGACGTATTTATACGTCCCACCCGGTTAACAGGTTAAACTTTGGATTTGAAATTGAGCTTTTGTAAAAATTGTCGTCAATATATATTCACCATAAATATATATCCCATTAATTTGGGATTCATTCATTCGATTTTATGTTTATCTCTCGTTTGATTTTTTATTTTTAATGTATAAATATTATATATATATATATATATGCATCATAGATGTTTTTTCATTTTTTTTATATAATTTTTCTCCTTTTCGAAAAAAAAAACGTTCTAAATATAGTGTTTTATTTTTTCTTTCTTTTTCATATTACTTACACACACAACGAACAAACCATACACGCAACCATTACACACCGGTACACGCACACTCTTTCATTCTATCTTTCTCTATCTCTTACTTTCTTTCTTTCCAACTTTATTCTAATTTCCATTCCTTCGTTCTATCTTTCTCTATGTAAAATTCTGTAATACGCATCCGTCTATAATTTGCATGATCTTTCTATTTTATATTAATATCAATATCTGTCTAACAATCAATATATTTACTTTTCTTCTTCTCTTTTTATTAAATAAAAATATAAAAAAAAATACAAATAAAAACAAAAAATAAATTTTACTGTAATATTTATGAATTTAAAATTAATCCCTAAAATTGTTACTGTATTTTTTCTATAAATTATTTCTCTTTTATATTACCAAAAAAAAAAATTGAAAAAAAAATGCTACTACAATTGAAATTAAATTTTGAAACAATTATTGTACTTTTAAACTTCTCTGTCTCTGTCTCTCTCTCTCTCTATCTATCTTTCTATTTATCTATCTCTTTCTCTGTCTTTTATTCTGTAAAAAAAAAAACTAAAAAAAAAATACTCTCTTTGGCACCTCCTCTCATAAACCCGGCATTATTCCCATAACGCCTTCCTTCTAACTGCGTGCACGCAATACACTGTAGCCAAGGGAAGAACGAATATCGAGCTGAGGGAGCAATTCATATTGGCGGATGGTGTCAGCCAGACAATGACAGCATTCAGATCGAAGCCAAGTCCAACGTCGACACTTCAACGTACACAAATGTCCACACCTGGACCCATCACCAAGGTAATGTCATCCAGTATGGTGAGCACTATCACATCAAAAAACACACATACACATATACACCTACTTTCTTCCTCAAAGAACAAATATTGGTATCCTCATCACTACGACAAATCTCGTAATGAAAGATAATGAATTTTTTAATCTATCGATTTTTTTCCTATGAAAATCTTTTCTTTTCTTCTTTCTTTATATTCGAGGATTCTTTGTCGACCATTTTGGTTTTTTTTTCTTTGTCGACCATTTTATTCGTTCTTTTTATTATATTCGTTTTTTATTTTATTATATTGATATGGTTCGTTAAGAATCCTTGCTTTGATATACTTGTTCTACTTTTTCTTGTCTGTTTTGTTTTCATCTTCATTCTTGTACGATCTTAAAAAGTGAACTTCATTGATGCACTTTGATGTGCTCGTTCGTAAGTTCATTTTTAGGATCGAGACAATTATTTCCATTCATTTTCGATCATTGCTTCATTCATAATCATACATATACGTATAAATTTGTGTATATTTTATTATATGGGAAATATGGTATATAATAATTCATGCATGATCAATTATCGGATTCCATGGACGCCATTTTTCATCGTACTTGGTGAGTACTCTAGATTATATCGTGACAAAAGAAAAATGAAATAAGGATTGATTTAATATAAAATGAATAAAGGTGAATTATTATATTTATAATTTGTTGTCCTGTTTTGCATGAGCATGGCGAAGGTTTGACCAAAGGATTTATTTTAGTTGGTTGTATTTCGCTGTTATAGAAAATAGTCGCTTTTAATCTTACTATCTTATCTTTTCTATTTATTATTTGATATAAAAACTTTTTGGATAAAAAGAGGCATTGGTGAAAACGCCTTGTGTGATAGTCCATCGTTTTATGGCTTTGGTAAGCAATTGTTTTTTTGTATCGATAGCAAAAGCGAAAGCAAATTTTTAAAAAATACAAAAAAATAAATCAGAAATTATATATCTATATATATTTATATATATAGTATATAATTAATATTTTATCCAATCGACGCATCAGCACCTCAGGAGATGTGATTTCAAGATTTTGTTTTATTTAAAAAGAAAAAGAATAATTGTTTAATTAAATATAAATTTGTTTATTAATTTCATAGGAAATTATATTTAACGCCATCTAAAGAAGATTCCTAGAAACTATTTCCCCGAATGGTAAGAAAGATCTGTTCTGTTGATAACACAGTGAGTTTTGACGAACAGTTTCTAGGAATATGCTTCAGATGACGCCACGTTTATCTTCTATGCGATTTTACCATCAGTAATAAAAAAAACACACATAATTACTGCGAAAAAAATCAAATCAGCAATCATAGGAATTTTTTTTTTTTTTTTTCGAAAAAAAACGTTCTGTTAAGTTATCAAATAAAATGAGATAAAAAAATTCATAAAAATTAATTTTCAGTAGAGGTATAAATGAAAATAAAAAAAAAAATATGATTTTTTTATAATCAAAATGGAGTACTTTTTGTAATAATTCGAGAAACGACAGCTGCCTCGTAGAAATTTGGGACGAGGTTGAGAAGAGAGAAATGAAAATGAAATGAAAAGAAAATGTTCAGCATGAGATAGAAAAAAAAAAAAAATTAGGTGGGTGGTATGATCGCTAAATTTTGTCGTTTATTATGGGTGTAGCGGAGGAGTTTATGAGCCAGCTGATGCCGATATTTGAGAGTTTGAGGCAAAAGGAGGACCTTCCGTGCTCGTATCCCCTTCATATGCACGCCCCCTCTTATCACTGGGTAAATAACAACAACAAGTTTCTCTATTAGTTCTGCTGTCGTTTTTTTACGAACTGATTTGTATTTCTCTCTCTATTTCTCTCTCCTCTCTATTATAATACTACTACTATTACTATACTATTCACTACTACTATATTATAATTATTATTATTATTTGACTCCATCCAAATTATTGTTTTAGTTGATTTTACATTTAATTGTGAGTTTGATTGATATTTGTACGCTTGAAATCCATCTCGCAAATTATTCTAGTGCTAGTGTGAAACAAGTAAACAAAAAAAAACCCCTCTTTTAAACCCCCACCCAACCCCCTTGGTTTAATTCTCGATGTCCTTTCTCTTTCTAGCTCGTTATTATTAATTAAGTCAATAAAATCCTTTAATCTATTTGTACGCCATCTTATTACTACGTAAATCAAATTATACACAATTATTGGCTAATTGAATTCACATTTTTAAGTTAGGTTCGATCGAGAGCAAGGACATTGAGTTCAATGTGCCTAAATATTTGACTATAGCATGTCGATCATTTTTATAAAAAGCATCCCCTTTTCTTTCACGCTAAAAGTGTGTTTTATATTCCACTGTTAATTATTATTATAAAAAAATTTAAATAAAATGATTAACCCTTTCGTATTAGGATGTTTATTAGATAATTCTCATGGCAACACTCCTATATGGGTCGGTTGATTGTTCATACATGGGCTTGTTTTGCATGGATGACCCATATATGGGTCGTTAGAGTATTTGAAAGGGTTAAAAGTTTATCAAAAGAGTGTGCTTTTTAATTATAATTTTATTCTAACCAAAATATTCTTCTCATATAAAAATAATAACAGAAAATTCGTTGAATTTATTAAAAAAACTAAAGTAGTAGTGTTGATCACGTGATAGTGGTAATCAAATTCGTAATCATTTATTTAACAAACAAAAAACCCTTTAATGAATGAATTAGGATAAATTTGTATTTTCATATTTTCTTTTTCTACTCTCCTATAAGTTTCTTGCTTTTTTCCATTACGTTGGTTGTTCTTTTTTAAATCTTTAGCTGATTCCTTTCTGCTGCTGTTATTCATTTTCAATTAGTTCGTATTTGAATTGGTACAATGATTAGTTTGAACAAAAAAAAAGCCTCGAATATTTGTTATCATCCTAAATTACCCTAAATTATCATACACGAGTGATAATACACTTCTTCATACCCCCTCTCCCCCTTCAACCCTAACCTACTTCTTCGATAACGCCGTTCGACACGAATACAACAAATCGAAATATAATTTGTTTTTTTTTCTTTTCTTTTAAATAATAATTGATGACAAGAAGGTTAGGTTATTTGTAGGATGACATGAAAAATTGAATTAAATGCAAAGGAGAATGCTTGAAGATAAAAACGATGAGACAAATTGTTTGTTTGGTTTGATCTCTTTCTTTTTTTTTGTTAATTTTTTGTTGTTGAATGAAACAAACAACATACACATATTACACACGAGATATTTGATATATATATATATATATGGGTAGTTGGTTTCATTTAATTTTTTTTTGTTGGTTCTTTTGTTTAAAATACGAGTTATATGCATAACCGAATATGTGTCATGTATTGATGCGTTGCATAGTGGCGTTGATCGGAGATACTTCGAATCACCATAAACTACTGTATCTCTCCCAACTTCTTTTGGTAAGTCTGCATGTAATTCGATTAATTAAATCAACCAAATTTATATATATATATTTATATAATATATATATATGAACAAATTAATATTAATATTATAACTAAATCAATTAAGGGCCACCATCCATCTGTCATTGCCATATTCTCGTTATTCTTCTTCTTCTTCTTTGTGTTCTTCTTCTCCTTTCCTTCCTTTTTTAATTAATTTATTTATTTATTTGACATTTATTCACGTAAGTTGTAAAATGTTGTTTTATCGTTTTGTTCATTGTATTTATATTTCAGTCAAGTATGAACAATTTTTTATTATTTAACGATTATTTTTTTTTAAATTTAGTCACACTACATGCGCATATATATACTGTATATGTGTGTGTTTGAAATATTGTTCATACTTGACTGTTCATAAACTCATCATCGAATAAAATGAAATTATTTGACAATCGTAGTGTCTGGATCAAATTAATTGCATAATACGATAATTAGAAACAATTGTTTAATTATCATCAATAGAAAATGCTTATTTAAATCGTAATAACATTTTTCGCAATTACAAGTTTGCTTTTTTCATTATATTATTCATCTTTTTTTTTTTTAAATAATCACAAAAGAGACACTCACGAAGGTTCAACGTGTTCATCGATATAATTGTGCACACTTAATAACGTCCAATGTTTTTTGTATTAATTTGTATCAAATGTTTATTAAATATATTGAATTTTTAATTTTTAATATTCTTTTGTCTTTCTTTTTTTTTTTTTTATAAAAATACAGGTAAGAGAAAGAAGCGCAAGAAGTGTGCCAATGGGCCAATCAAGGGCCTCCCGTTCATCCCTAAGTGCAGGTACACCTGATAGTTTGAGTGACAACGAAGGATCATTCAGAATAACTGCTAGAAAAACTAGCACACCTTATAGAAGTAATCTCACACCAGGTAAATTATTTCTTTCACATTTATAATCATTAATAATAATTCTAATAATTATTCTTTAATTATTAATCATTTCAAAATAAATTAGGTGGTAGCCGACCTTCGAGTAGACCAGCGTCAAGGCCAGCATCTAGACCAACAAGTAGGCCAGGTAGTAGGCCAGCTTCAAGACAAGGAAGCAAACCACCAAGTCGTTATGGTTCAACACAATCATTGGACAGTACAGGTAAATTATTATTACAAACCATAAACCATACAAAATTCATTAAAACTAACTCAATATTAAAATCTTGAATAGATGCCATTTTAGGTTTTGTACTTTGATATAAAATTAATTGAAGTATCGCTTACAAAACAAAAATGTTCAATATTTTGTTTAGATGAAGCAGGTACCCCAAGTCGAATTCCTCGTAGAACAGCATTAGGAACAACAGCAACAACACCAACATCTAGCAGACATAATAGCATTTCCGGTAGAAGATTAGGTACACCTGTTAATGGTGCAAGTTCTAGGCCACGTACACCAACTGGTTTGGTTAGTCCAGCTAGTGGCAGTGCAACCTCTAGGTTTGTACTATTTTAATAGACTTTGTTGCTTATTAATTAATTAGTAATTTAAACAACAACAACAATAAACTAACTTTTGATGCATTTAAAAGCTCGTTCGTTAATTTGCATTGATTAGAGTAGTACAAGCAAAAAACATTGTAATAATTGTAATAATTATTGTCATAACGAATTAATGATGTACGATTTTATTTATCAATTATTTTTTTTTTTGTGTGTGTGGGTATTATTCATTTTTATATTTTCTTTATTTTAATTTAATTGAATTCACATTCAATTTTGTTTTGTTAGTGCGCTTTGCATAATTTTTTTAATTTCTCTCAGTAATTCATTTGTTAAATTTAAGATCCACCACAACAAGCGTTTATTGACTATATTAATATTGAAAATTAATTGTCATCAAGCTCCAAAATAATAATAGTTAACCCTTTTCGTTAATAACATTTTTTTAGGTTTGGCTCAATCCATAGAGCTTCAAGTATACCAACCCTGACTGGTGTTGGAACACCTATCAGGTAAAGCATTAATTAACCGTTAGAAAATGATCATTTTAAGAAAACAATTGGCTTGGCTTTTAATTGCTTTAAAAAAGAAACAAAAAAAAAAAAGAAAAAACAATAACTCATCAATCTGATTGAAAATAATCGTCAAATGTTGTTGGTGGTGGAACAAGCTTATTTCTATTACTTTTTTTTTAATTTCATTTTAATCATTCATATCTTTCTTCTTTTATCATTATTATTATTATTTAAAAACAACCCTTTCATTTTATACAATAAATATAAAAATAATATGTTAAATTGATCAATAAATTTGTGTTGATCTTTTCACAAGAAACTGCACAAACTTGTGTTGATCAATTATATGATTATTTTTATATTTATAAATCATTGTTCATATAACTAATAATAATCTAATGAAATAGAATGATATTAAAAAGGACATTATATACTAATCTAATTGATTGATGTGTGTGTATGGTGTGTTAATCGTTGGTATGTAAATTTAACAAACTAATATCTTCGAATGGTGATGGTTTAGCCGATCTAGGATACCTGTTTATGTGGGAATGGACATAAAATCCCCTCAATCAACAACCAGCAATATTTCAACTCATTCGACACAAAGCAACCATTCTACAATTTCTACCGATTCTACTGGGTATGACGAATGTTCTATCTCTTTCAACTATTCTATAAATCTAAAACATTAATCTTTTCTATTATTTCTTTTTCGTGTAATCTAACATCCCATTTTTTTCTTCCATCATATCATTAAATCACATATGTATAATAATTCATAAATCCCAATTAATTATTGTATGTTGCATATCAATACAAATGACAAATATCAGAATGCTTATTAAAATATTGCATAATTAAAATATACATGCTTGATAATAACAATTAACAAAACTTATAAATGCTGTAAATATAATCATAAAATAAATAACCAATGAAAAAATTGATTAAATGATTTTTCAAAATGCCAGGAGCAGTTCCATCTGTACAAATTCAGCAACTAACATCCCATCGGCTGTTAAACACGCTAGGTAATAATAATTAACAACTAATCCCAATAATAATTTGCAATTTAAATATCATTTTACAAAATACACCCAGAATTTTTGTCAACGATAAGATGCAATCAAATTGGTGCTAACAAAATGTATGAATCATTTTAATAATATTGTTTGTTTTTATTATTTATAATAGGACACGTACACCTTCAAGTGGTTCAAGCACACCATTACCACCATCATTAAAATTATCAAGAAAACCATCAGGGGCTTCAGATACTTCAGTTTCTAATACAACGCCAAGTGGAACACGTAAAGGAAAACCAACCCCTATTGATCAAAGAGCACCATTCCGATTATAATAATCTCGACGATTTCTTCTTTGCCTAATTGTTATTATTAAACATATTATATATTTTTGTTTGTTTATAATTAACGATACAAGCTTCTTAATAATATTTGCCTATCGAAAGAAATGAGAAGAAAAACAAATATTAATATTATTAATGATTAATTAATTATCATGCTTTGTTCTCTGATGTAAAAAAAAAGAAATTAAAAGAAAAGAAAAAAAGAAAGAACCAAAATAAAACTCAATGGGGTGGATTACGTAAGATCGAATTTGAAAAAAAAAAAAGAGAAAATAATTAAGTTAAAAATTAAAAAAAAAAAAAAGAAACATGAATTAAAAGTTTATGAAAATGATGAAAATGATTGTCACACATATATGTATATTACGAATTATTGCAAGAACTAAAAATAAAATTGCAATTTATATATAAGAATGATATAGATAAAGAAAAAGAAAACAAATACAATGAAGTATTAACAATTTTTATGATTGTTTTTCACTTTTCTTTATATATATATATATATATATATATATGTAATACATATATGTATTCGTTTAATTTTTATATTTCAATTCGAATTTTTGTTATTTTTTTTTGTATTCAATTCGCGCCTGAATGTTCTCGCTGGCTTTTATATAATATAAATAATATGCAATATAATAATAATAATAATATTAATATTATTAATAAATTAAAAAAAAAAAATATAGCACAAATTGTGATACGAAGTTAAATGATCTTCGTGTAAGAAGAATCAGAGAAAGAGAGAGTGGCCAACTCTTTTAGTTTGTTCTCAATAGGACGAGCTTATTATAAATAATTGTCTATTATGTAATATATCTATAAGATTATACAAGAAGAAGTATATAAAAAAAAAAGAAAGAACGTTGGTCACGGGTGACCTATGTGACAAATCAACGTCTTAATAAATAAATAAATAAATAATTAAATAAATAAATGCTGAGTGTTTTGATGTAATCAATTCACTCTCGCAAAAATATTGTCGAGAGTTTATCCGTGCGTTTCTATTTACGTGCTTGAACAACATCATCAGCTTTTTAAAAAAAAAAAAAAAAAAAAGTATAAAAAAAAGATGTCGAAAGTGTTTCGATTAAAAAAAAGGTTATAATGATAAGGATATAAAAAAAAATATATATATATATATATAGATATATATATATATATTTAAAAAAAAGACTTAACAATATTAAAATAAAATAAAATGAAATGAAACTTATTAAAGTACCGAATTGTTAAACGTATTAACGTACTAATTAATTACTATGAACTATGAACTATGAACTATGACGCGTCAAATAATAATAATAATAATAATAATAATAATAATAATAATAATAATAATAATAATGATGATAATTCTTTAATAATTTGTTTTGTTATTTTTTTTTTCATTTTTACCCCGTTTTTGTTTAGTTTTTTTTTTTTTTAATAAACGTTTAATTATTATATATAACTGTTATTATTTAATACGTTATAACAATTACTTTTTTTAGATTTTGTTTAAGAAATAATCATACGTTTTGGTTTTCTTTATATAATAATAATAATAATAATAATAATAATAATAATAATAATAATAATAATAATAATGATAATTAATAATAATAATTCTAATTGTGATTAGTATATTTTTTTTCTCAATCGATCTACGTGTAATTTCCATTTTGTGTGCGTTTTGTATGCGTCTTTTCATGTGTAGGTTAATTGTTCACTTTCATGGTATTTTTGTTCTTCCTTTTCCTTTTTTTTTTTTTTTTTTGAAATTTTTATATAAATAATATAATATAATAATTAAATGTGAAGAAAGAGAGAAAAAAGAAGAAAAAAAGATAGAAGGAAAGTAAAGGAAGTTTGCTTCGTCATTTATTTATATATAAATCTATAAATAATAATTAATTAATTAATTAATTAATTACAAAAGAATGCATAAAAAATAAAAGAGAATGATCTTTTTGTATTTATTATACAAAGATTTATATGTGCATAAATATATTTATATATATATATTATATATTTTTGTTTCTCACGTGCGCTAAATTAAAAAAAAAAAAAATTCACATTTGATTTTATTTGTTTTGCTAAAAGAAAAAAAAAAGAAAAATTTATTTATAATTTTATATATTTCCGTTAAAAAGATAGAAAACGTCGAGAAAATTTATCAACAAAAGTTGTAAATATTTGATATGATATTATTATTGATGATTTTGTTTAGTTTTTGTTTTTCACTTGACGTTTTATAATTTATGAAAAAAAAAAATAATTAAATAATATATATAATTTTGTTTTATATGATAAAAAAAACTTTCTTGGAAATGAAAACTGGTGTGCGTGCGTGCGTGCGTGCGTGCATGTACGAAGAGATCAATCAAAGTTAAGTTTTTTGTTTTTTGTTTTTTTTTATTTTAATTACTATGGCACAAATTATTCTATGTAATATGCGTTGTTGTATTTTGTCTTTATTATTATTATTATTATTATATTTAAAATACGAATGAAATAATTATATTAGACACAATAATAATAATAATAATAATAATTAAAAAGAAAATATGAAAATGAAGTATAAACGTTTAAACGAATATTTGCGATATTTGATGAAGATAAAAAGACAGCTGAGACAAAAACAAAAAATAAATAAATAAAATATTGTGTATTAAAGCTAATTAATGATATTATATATATATATATACGGGGTACTAATTGTTCGAAACAATGCTTGTATGTATGTTGATGAAATGAAAGTCTCTCGCCAAATAGACATTTCCAATTTTTTACAATGCAAACACGCGAATTTAAAATAATAAAAATAATAACACAACAACAACAATTACACGATTAAAAAAAAAAACATATAACGCAATTTATAACGCAAATTACCATGTGCTAACAAAAAACAATTTTGTTTTTTAAATTATCTTTCAATTAATTTCTCTCATCTTTTACTGTACAATCTTTGTCTGTACTGTTGCCTCTGATATGATGCAGTAACTAAAAAAAAAAAAATTAAAAAAAGATATAAATATATACATAAATAATATTAACAAATGCCTAATTGTTTTATCTTAATTAAATAATTACCAATTATTAAAATGAAATAGTAGGCAAGGTGCGAGAATTACGAGGCTACAAAATGGGAAACAAAGAAAGTAAGACGACGCAGTATTAATCGCTGAGAACGAAGACGATCTGCAGAGACTTCTAAACCAGTTCGCTTAAACAGCAAACACAATGAACATGAAAATATCTGCAGAAAAAAACAAAATGCATGACAACGGCAAAAATCCCCATTAGATGCAAACGCGAGGTCGAGGGAAAAGTCATCCAACAAGTAGTGAGATTTAGATACCTCGGCATAGAAATCTCGGGATATGGAGATATCGAGGAGGAGGAGGAGGTGAGGGAACAAACAACAAAGGCAATAAGAGTAGCAGGATGTCTGAACGACACAATATCGCGCAACAAGAACATCAGAACAGAAACAAAAGCTAGAATATACAAAACAACGATCAGACCTATTATGACATATTGCGCAGAAACACGACCTGATAGCGCAAAAATTAAACGCCTATTAGAGACGACAGAAATGAAGATACTCAGGAAGATCAGGAAGATCGCAAGAAAAACACTCCTGGACAAAGAAAGAAGCGAAAAAATAAGAAGAACATGCCAAACTGAGAATACCAACGAATGGGTGCTGGAGCGAAAAAAAAGAGTGGAATGCACACATAAGCAGAATGAGCGTAGATAGAATAGTCAGAGTAGCATGCGACAAATTTCCATTGTGCCATAGAGGACAGGGCAGACCTAGAAAATGTTGGAACGACAATTTGAATGCATAGGAGGCAAGATGACGAAGAATGAACAGGCGCCCCCCCGCCTAGCATAAATCAGGAAAAAGAAGAAGAAATAATTACAAATTGTGGTAGGTGTATTATTATTCTGCTTGTACAAAATAAAAATAAAAATAAAAAACAACAGGTAGGTATGTTCAAAATAAAATATTGTACGAAAAAAAATATATTAAATATTATGAATTAATGAAATAATTTTTGAACTGATAGATGTGTGTACAATTGTAAATAAAACAAAAATTACGCAAATACAAGTAGGTACACTAAACAACAACAAAAAATTATAAACAAAACTATGTTAAATATTATCTTGACGCAAATGTACAAAGTATTTTTTTTTGTTTTGTTCTTTTTGTTTATTCATTATTCTTTTTTATTAAACATTCTTTATTTATTTCTTTTACTCTCTCTCTCTCTCTCTTTCTCTTTTTCCACTTTCTTTTCTCTCTCTTTCTTTCTACATATATATTTAAAACAGTTTACATATAAAATTCGTAAGAAAAAACTTAACATGTGGTGTACGTAGTTAGGCGCGTGTTTCTTTGGTTTTTTTTCTTCTTTTCTAGCTAGATGCAAATATTAATTGATTAACGTATTATAAATTGTTGTTGAGAGACTATTAAATATTAACAATTGATTATATAAATTATTAATCATATTATTGTAATATTATTAGTATTTTTTTCATTTATATTTCTGTATAATTATGTCGTTGAAAAGACTCAAGTGAAGATCTGTAACAAATCCTACGGCGCAAGATCAGGACGGACAGTTTTTTTTACCGATTCGACTGATTTTTTTTCTTTTCTTTTCTTTTATTTTATTTTTTTTTTTTTTATTTTTTTTCAATCTTCTCTTTTTTGACGCCCTTTTTTTGACGCCCTTTTTTTAACGCCATTTTTTTTTTTTTTTAATATTTAGTATATACAAATTCTTTTTTATTTTTATAGTATTTGTTTTTTTTTTTTTTCGTTAACAAAGTTTTATATAATTTAATTTGCAAATTTCTAATTAATTAAATATTCAATTCAATACACTCATTATTCATTCATTCATTTATTCGTTCATTCATTCATTATTTTTTTTTTTTTTATCGAACGAGAATACTGATCAAAATCCATATTTTATCATTATTATAAAATATAGATAATATATATATATACGTGTATATATATATTATTTTTTAATAAATACGCATGATATAATTAATTAGATAATATTAAATAAATAATTAGCGAGATACATGGAATAAAAGTAAAAAAAAAAATATTTAACAATTAATTGTAAGACAGAGATATATATATATATAAATATAAATAATTTAAATAATATGATAATTAAACAAAAAACGATTATCAGTACAAAAAATACGTAACAGATTATAAATTAACGATTGGAATTATTTGAACAAATAGAAAACACCTACTTCGTTCGAGGTGATTTTTTTTTTKTACTT